CATTAGAAAGAGTAGTTCTTTTCTTAAAATAGCTGCTATTGGGAAGGTTTTCATGAAGGAAGGTACTAATTATCTGGTCCCCGATTAGATCGGAATCAGAAATTATTCTGAGTTTTTTTTTTTTCTTAGGGAACTCATTTCCAAGCTGCAGGGCCATTTATCTAAAGGGGACCTATGAGACGCCAAACTACATCAAGTTGTATTTTTAATTAAATGATGGATTTTTTGCGATTTTTTTTTATCTTACAAATACACCACTTTTATACAAACTGTTCTCTTTAATAAGCTTTAGTTGTATATCAATTTATTTAGGATTTGTTGCAGAATAGAGTTGATATTCATATCAAATTGTGTTAAAAATTATGATATTTGATATTCTATCACTTCAGAGTACCTGTATTTTCAGCAGAAATAACAATCGAGAATTAATAATTAATTTCTTCTTTTTCTTGTGATCTGGCATTTATTTTACTAAATTAATTATGAAAATAACTTTTTATTAATTAAAAAAATATGTTACAAAATACTGCTTTTTCAAAATTGTTTTATCTAATAAAGTTGCGTTTAGACATTTCACAAATTATGGGACGAACAAATGTATAAATAGTTATTTCACTATGGTAGTATTTTTGTTTTTTGTTTTTAGATATTTTCCATCTACTGGCGGTGTCAAAAGAAATAAAATAAATAGTTTGGTAGCAATAATGTCGGCGTTAATTAAGTTAGATAATTATGTTTCACATCGTTTGTGGAATGTCTGAACGCACCTTCAGGTGATAATGAACCATTGTTTATAACACAGATATGTATAGTGGAAATTGGCCCTTTTTAGTAACTAACTAAATGTTTTTAACCCTAATTTTTATGTCAAATCAAACAAAAACACCACCAATAATCGATGATTTTATGAAAAACACAACTTCACGTCGTTCAAATTCCCCAAAGTCTCCTTTGAATGGTTATGACAAAGATAAACTCAACTTGTATTCAAAAAAATTTTTGCCTAGTTTGAAGAAATTAGAAATAAACTGAATTTTTGTGTTATTGCTTACTTTGAAAAAAAAAAATCTTAAGAAATGACAATATTGAACCTAACTATTTTTTCGTTCGAAAATTCAATGTTCAACAACTTTTTCCCTAGGGAATTTTTTATATAGAACATTATTATCGCTAGAACATCTAGTAGTTTCGCTGATTTAAGCGGTAACTGAAAAATAGTGAACTTTTTTACTTGAAATCCCTAGTTAAATAGACATAGTTATTATTACTATTTTTTCTTCACTAATATTGTTGATTCCTTTGTCTCAAAGAGATGTCCACCATGCGGCAAAAGTTATCTCTTTCCAAAGTCAAGCGATAGATCTAGCCATTTATAGATTTATCCTGTCATTTTAAGGAGATGCTGACAGTCCTATACTTTATGGCTACAACATGATTGTCCACAGTGTCCGAGAAAAGATACCTCCTTTTGTATCTTGAGCCGAAAACTAACATCTTCATCGGAAAGGCCCTCACTCGTCCCAAAAGTTTATAGTTAGCACATGCTTGGTGCATTATTACTTTTAAGAAAAAACCAACTCTCCCACAGAAATAGTTAAATAATAGCCATCCCCTCCTTTACCATTTCCTATATATTGAGCTCAAAAATATCCTAGAGACAATTCCAAGTCAGGCATGTAACATTAGTTTAGGCCTCACAAGGATAGTTTGTAAATAATATCAAATCAATAACTTAAGTATGTCAATGTAACTTTATATTTCACAATAAAAGTAAATTTCAAAGTCTTTACTGTTGTACGAGTTCGTTAATTCCCGTGTATGGGGTTACTTACTATTATTTGATATCTTAGGAGAGTAACTTCTATAAATTTAATGAGGTACTAAAACCTCATAAATACCCATAAGATAATTTAATCATATTTGGCCGTTTGACCTAGATAACCTCGTTATTTTGACATACTGGGGATGGAAGGTCATGCCAAATGGCCCAATATTTTTGTAGGCCAACTTTTTTTTTTAGATTTTTTAATTAAATTTTCTTATGATCCAAGTGGAAAAGAAAGGGATATTTATGAGTTTTTAGAACCTCATTAAATTAATTAATTTAATATAAATATACAAAGCTATCAACCATTTAAATTTATAGAATTTACTGTCCTAAGACATGAAATAGTTAGTTACCCCATACCCTGTACTGGATTTCAAGTAAAAAATTGGAATTTACGATACAAAAGTTCACGTTTTTTTTTCGGCTCACTGCTTTAATCAGTGAAACTAATCGTTCTAAAAATAATAATGTTCTACATGAAAAATTCATGAGGAGAAAAGTTGTTGAACATTAAATTTTCTATAGAAAAACTTTATGTATATATTCCGATATAATGAGAAAAAACTTAATTTTTGTAATTACAAGGGTTTATTATATTTGTATATTATAATATTTGTTATTAAGCCAACTTTCCAAATTTTTATTAAGGCAAGGCAAATAACTCTCTTGAGTTCAAAATAGGCAACTTTCTACTTATTTATGCAGTGGACTGCATTTTGATGAAATGGCAGGTTGTATGAATTGTGCAAAAACAGCTTACCATTTTTATGGTGGTATGGACCTGAGGGTGCCCACGGTGCAGATGTTATCTCTGGCTTGTTCTGTGATGGAATGGCTCGTCGTACGGGGAGCTGGTACGGATTAAATTTTATCTTTTAGATCATCTGATCTGCCCCCATCACTCACCGTATTGAGACAATTGGGCACAACCGCTTCGCACAAACATATCCCCTTAAGGCACAAACGAGAGGAAAGTTGCTTGGTTTACAATAAAGAAAGAGTGAAATTATTCAAAATTAATTTTTGGAAACTTAGAAATAAAGTGAGATAGAGCAAAGATAGGCTAATAAACTACAAATAATTTAAAATAAAATGACTCCTCATTAAATTTAAGCAAAAAAAAAGAAAAACATATTCATATAAAAAAAAGTTTCTGCAGAAGGGAGAGGCACTAACTTGTGCACCGGTCGCACCAAAGTGGCTGTAGCTCTCCTCTCGATAAACAATCGACTGGATTCTGTTTTATAGGAATATATAATGCCAACAACTAAGTTCTGTTACTTCTAAAATATGTACTACACGATTGGCAATATAAATCTTAACTTCATGTGGTGATGTCTGTAACCAATAGAATACGTGAGGAGAATTAGAAAAATAATATACTTCCTCAATTTGCAAATGACTTTTAAGTTTGCCAATACACGCAACTAGTCTGTAGGCAAGAATAGCTTGCAGCTTGCAGCAAGAAGAGCAGTGGATCGGCTGTGAAGATTCACTTCTCCAAAAAAACATAATGTTTTGATTAGTTTCAGCAATGCGGATACACCTAAACATCATTCTTCACGTTAAGGCCACAGGAAAGGATCTAAAATGTTCTATAAGTTCTGCAATATCAGTCTAGAGCTGCAGACCGGTCAAAAGCAAATCATTGAGCAAGTTCCCTCCAACCATCTTCTCCGAACTGTTAAATACGACTCTAAGCTTTGTCGTGAAAGAATCTTTAATGGCTCCATGATGGGCCATGACATATGGAGAAGAGTTTATGGTGAGGCGGACATGATCCAGTCTTACACATTCGTCCATCTGTGCAGCTTCGGGCAGACTTATATTCCGGATCTCTCCTAAATCTATTTTCCAGATTTCTAAATCTGCGTAGAACTATTTCTCTCATGGAATCAAGGCTAATCAGCAGGTCGGAACAGAATGGAAACAACGAATCTAGCCTGGATATCACAAGTGCATGTATTTATAAAATGATCTTCGCAAAATGCATCTTCAGGATTCGGCAGAATCGAAACTGTGACTTCCTCGGTCCCCGAAAATCGCTTTAATTCCTCCTGTAAGGAAGGGCTGGTCTGCGTAAAAAGAGTGGGTACTGAATGTATAGGGCTATGGCTTTCTGAGAGGGTGTCCCCAAATAATAAGCATCCTAATGAGGTATGGATAGCTTTCGGTTGACCTTTCAGAATTAAAACAGGGTCACCATACCTCAGCATACATCTGAGCACCCAGAAGCAGATCAACTTTTCCCAGCGTATGAAATTGATGGTCCGCCAATTCAATTGAAGCAAATCTATTTAAGTATTTAGCAGCTTTAAGAAATCAGCAGCTTTAAAATTGCAGTTCTTAGTAAGTGCATCAAACAGATATTTTCATATTTTCTCACTTTAATAAAATTAATAACAAATAATTAACAGGTTTCAGGATTTGTGTAGCAATCATCACTTCATTGCTGGTTAATCAGCATATGTTCTTGTAATAATGTAGATATTTACTAAATAACCTAATGCTGGATACTGACCTTCCTAATCCCCATAAATTCAATTAACCACTAATTTACTTGCTTATTTTAAGATTATAAACAAAAATAATAGTAAAAAAAATTAAGATCATTTAATTATCTTGGTCTTTTTGTAAGTTTACAATGAAAAGGAAAAATAAAATAAGTGTTATTGGGTATTAAGCCATAGTACATTGTTATACACAATATAAATAAATGATTTTTTTTTTATTATTACTTAAGCCAGAAACTCTAAACTCTTTAAAATAAATATAAACTAAAATTATTTTATAAAAACAATAACAATAACAGCAATAATGATAAAGATTTCTAAAAATATAATAATTAAAATACAACAGTTACTTAACTGTTTAAAATAAATAGAATTTAAAATTATTTAATCAAAACAAAATAATAACAGTAGTACGAAACCATACTTTCAAAGAACATAGACATTTATTTATTTAAGAAATTTCTAAACACCTAATAAATAACAAACTAAAAAGAATTAAAAAAATAAATTATTATAATTAAACAGACTAATCAATGCAAATTAATATATACTACTATGTAAGTGGAAACAACACTCTACAAATATTTAAAGCAGAATAAAGAAATAACCAATCTGAATTTGATAACTTAAATCAATTTAAATTCATCCTCCATCTGATATCAACAAGATGTTATAAAAATATCTGCTGGATGAGGACTGGTCTGATGGAGATGGACTAACTTACGCTGCCATAAGTCTAAAAATAAAATAATTAATAAGTATAAATATAAAACGTATTTTAAAAAGTTTAATATGAATAAGAAAGAAATGTTATTTTATAAGTATATCACAATAAATTCAAGCTTCACGTATTAAAGTTGCTAATTCAGGAAATATTAAAATACTATTTCGAATACCTCGGCTCTACAATAACCTCAATGTATGACTAACAGTCAGAAATAGACTAGCGTATAACAAGAGTAAAGACAGCTTTCTTCTCTCATTCAAAGGTATTTAAATCCCGAAAAATCTCAATGATCTAAAATTAAGGATATTATGACAAAGCCAGTTCTCATATACAGCTACGAGATCTGGACCCTAACCAGCATCCTAGAAATAAGTACTGAAAGATCTGAGACGAAAATCCTCGGCACGATAATCAGAGCAATCTGGGTTCAGAATACTAACAGCTGATTACAGAGACTGGTCAATCAATATAACATAATATAAAGACAAGGAGGTTAAGATTGACAGGACATGTAGCTCGGACCAATCCATCTGGAAGCCTCTACACAACAATGATTGCCTTAATACTAGGCTGTAAATAACATGATAAACGTTTAAATGTAAATAATTTGTTTTGGCAGGAATTGGCGAATAGCCTTCCGCTTTTAGGGGAACTAGGTTATTTACACTCGTGATTATTAATACAAAACCCCGGCACTGGATATAGACTTTTTGAGGGTGTTTAACTGACTTGTTGTTGGGAAATCGGGAATCTAATACCTTTTGTGACACTGGGTGAGAAGAAACAATAAGATCATATATATATAATGTGGGACTGAGTAAATACACTTTGAATGAATTGAGTCACCTGGTTTATTCTTCAATCATGAGGCATGTAGGACAACTAAATAAATAAATGACTTTTCATTCCTGTATAATAAAACAATTTATTTTACAACTGTAATAAATGAATGTATACAAGTCTTATAACTGTAGGCTTGCTTTCTTAGTCTTCTATGTAGCATCTCTCTCTTCTGACAACCTCCTTTCTTCCTGTCCAGGCCTAGCTTTCTTAGCGTCCTCTCGCCTCCGTGTCCTAGCCTCAAGTGCCCTTCTCAGCGTCCTTCTGCCAACTGTTGCTAGCTACCTGCTCTGACCTTTTTCCAGCGTCCTTCTTCATCGATTGTTTATCGATATGAGATATTTCCATTAATAATTTGTCCACTGCATAATTGAGTACAATTCATCGTGCAACCTCACATTTCTATATATTATATATTCCTTCTCATTCCCTCACACAATGTCACATAAAGGAGTAAATACCAGGGGATGTCTACTACAAGGCAAAAGATCACTTGGAAGGCTAAACAGCAGATAGATAGAATCAACAAATATGCAATAGAGCTGCATGCAGATAACTAGAAAGGAATAGCCCGAGGCAGGCAGAGTTAGAGCAGGATGATTAAGGAGGCTGCAAAAGATTAACAAGGTCTGTAATACCAACAGAACAGAAAAAAAATACATAGATCACATGGTGTAATACTCAATTAGTAAGTGAAGCCAATATGTTTGAAAAATAGAATGTCATGTCATGGAGTATCTAATGAGATAAACTTTTATAGAGATAACTTGCATTATCACTAACAAAGAACAGTCACGAAACTATGAAATGCCTATCTTCCAAGGAGAGCCTCGGGAAGAAAAGATAGAATTTAACATTGCTTTTACTCGACCTCAGATTCTTAGCCACATTTTATTTTTTGGATGACAGTTTTGTTGAATTCGGTATCAACACAAACAATAAAGTCACAAAAAACAAGCATTTTTTTTTTCATCAATAAAGATTGTAACAATTATAACAAAAAAGTTTCTAAATTTTCTGATAGATATTTGCAAAAATAATTAGTGCTAATGAAAATTAACATAAAATGAATCATAAAACAAACTCTGTATTAACTCAAATAATACAACAAATATAATTACAATTATATTAATTACAACAAATATAACAAGATTAATAATTTTACATACCAATAAGACGTACAAAAACTTTAGCTGCTTCAAGCTTTGTTTTAGAAATATCACATACGTCTATGAATCTGATTATTGTAGTATCCATTTGAGTACAAAGATCAGTTATTTTAATAAGAACTTCGTCCAAGCTAATCAAAGAAAATAAATATTGTTAAAAATAAAAAATGCATGCTTTTTATCTGATATTTTCAATTAATACAATTTAAAACAAGAGAAAAAAGTTTCATGAAAGAAACTAACAGTGTGTCCCCTCCACAAATATCCAGAGTTCCATATAAAACGCTATTTAGAGATATTTTTTTTTTTTTTAGTGACACCTTTCGGCGTGTTCTGTAGATTATGTGAAGAGTGAATTAGATTGAACTATACTGATCTGTAATGCTCGGATAAAGTCAGCTGGAGTCGACTAAAAATCGGACCAGCATATTGTTAGAGAGAGAGAAATGTTCATCATTTCATCCTATTCATAATTATCTTTTGTTCAAAATTACATCTTAATGCGACTCCGTGTTAGTGAGGTGAAAAGGAAAAAAAATAGTGTCCAAAACCAAATAATAACAAGTTTTATTGAAGACATGGATTAAAGTATCTCAGGAACTAAAAATCGGAGCTGCATACAATAAGCGAGGGAAATGTTCAGCATTTCATCTTCTTTATAATGAGCTATTATTTATAATTCATTGTAATACAGACTTTAATTGAACGTTGCTAAAAATGATTTAACAAATTAATATAACAGTTAAAAAGCAAGCTAATCTAGTTTCATTAGTACAGGGGAAAGAAAATAGCTGCTATGTAGTTTCTCCAGAAAAGAAAATCCCAAAGAGGAGAGAGGACAGACAAAGGATTTTGTTTTGGCAAGCAGTTGTTGTTTGGCTACAGTAAAGAGAGGATAGGATAAAGGATCCTGACTCTAATGGGTAAAACTCACTAATAGTATTACCATCTTGGAAGTTGTTATTTGGCAGGGAGGCAAATTGCTTGGAATTACAAGAGAGAGGATCTCCCAGGGAACTTGAGTTGAGTAGAAACAAGTGTCGCCATTTTGAAAGATATGTTTGGCACAACATAAGAAAATCATGTTTTGAAAAGTCTTTTGATTAAAAAATTCCAACATGTTAGAAATGTTCATAATTCATTTTTCATGTTCGATTTTAAGCTAAAAATGTCTCCAATTTTTAGTTAAACTTTCTATTAAATAACTTTAGATAAAAATGTAGCGATTATTAAGAACAGAAACGGTCCACTAATCCTATAAAAAATAAATTCAAAATTAAATAAAAATTTCTAAATAATTATATCACCTCATTGAAACCCCCTTCGTATAAATTCTTTCAATGCCATTTTCATCTAGTGTTTGTGGAAAAGATTGTCTTCCATCTTCCAAATTTAACGGTAATGAAGCTTCTTCAAAATGTTGTGGCTGAAAGAGAATAAATAGCTTGATAATAGTATAAAGTAATAATCATGTGAAAAATTAGATTGTAATTGGGAAAAATTCCAACCACATTTTTCCAAAATGCAGACAAAGAATAAAAACCTGTCAACGTTTTGCAAATCAGGCATCATCAGAACAGAAGAAGAAAAAATCAACAGTCACGTACATAGAAATTGCATCATCTATTTCTTTTGATTCTTATGTTGATAACGCTGATTTTATAGAATGTTTTTGTTTATCTTTACTTATTAAGATTGCGAGAAAACTTTAATAATGTTTCTCAGTTCAGTTTTAACTAATGTCAGGATAAAAGCTGTAATTATGACTTGTATCAAAAACTGACTGCGCCAAAAAACATTAAAATTGTGAAGTTACATGAAGTAAAAGAATTTTCACAGAAAATAGTAACAAGAATCGGGTACCACCAGTCAACGGTAGTCCTAGTTTTTAAAAACAAAAAAAGGACTGGAAGGAGAAAAAAACAAATGATCAATTCGACTGCTTAATAGTGCAATTGTTTTTACAATATTGTTTCAAAACTGGCAAACAAATATCAGGAGATCTTGCAGATAGCGATCTGTGAATAAAATTAAATTTAATAAAATTTTAAATGGGTGATACATTTCTATGACACTGACTGTAAGATCACATCAATCCATGAAATCCAACCGTGTACTAAGAGTATGCGATTGAATATCATGGATTCCAATTCATTTTAAGTGTATTCACCCATTCCATTTCATGTTTACTTATTATACACACCACAACTACTTATTATGTCACTTAAGAATTATTTTCCCGAAGTCCCATCTGCAGTGGACATCCTCAAAAAGTTTTATTCAATGGCGGGGTTTCGTTTTAGAATAACTCTATTTACTGCTTTATGTGACATTGAGTGAGGGAATGAGAAGGAGTGTACAGGAATGTAGGTTTCACTATTTATTGGACTCAATTGCGCAGTTGACAAGTTGTTGAGTGAAAAGTACCAAATGAATAAACAATTTATGAAAAAGATACAGCAGAACAAAGAAAGGAAGAAGCTTGCAAAAGTGTCTGGCAGGTGGCAGCAGCTGGAGAGGGATGCTGGAAGGACGAAGACTTCACTTGAGGCGACGACATGAAGACGGAAGTACATGACAGCAGGAAAGAAGCCCAATCCATTGAAGATTAAGAAGATCAAGCCTGCAGTTATAAGACTTCAATAGATTCATTCATAATAGCTGTTAAATCAAACTATCTTATTATACAGGAGTGGATAGTTCATTCATACACAAACCAGGTGGGACAATTCATTTCAAAGTATATTTGCTCAATATAAATATTCTTATTAATTCTTCCCACTCAGTGTCAAAAAAACATTAGGTTCCCAAATTACCAACAGCAGCGAACATCCTCAAAAAGTTTATACCCAGAGCCGGGGTTTTGTTTTAAAAAGTAAAATTCACGAGTGTAAATAACCAAAACCCCTAAAAAAACAAAAAGATTTTTTTACAATTGACGAACATCCTGCTCTACGAATGGAAAATGTGTCTCTCAAATCAACCATAATTCTATCGAATCATTTAAACATAGATTTATAGATTAAAAAATATTTTACATAACGATTACCATAGATGTTCGTGGAGTATAGTCCAAAGACAGAGCTCTCATCAGCAATGATAGATTTCGAATTTCATCAATTTCAGAAGCAGGTCTAACAGCATCCACCAAATGAAGATCAGCTGATGACATAATCTCAGACGGTCTTTCCAAATCTATTCTTAAAACATCAGCATCAGCTCTTCTTTCTTGGGGAGCATCTTCATCAGTTCTTTCCTGAAGAGCCTCATGACGATAAACATCGTCCTCTGTGATTGGAAACTCAAAAAGTGGAATTTTACCTGGTTCTGTAAGATAATATCTAAATTGATTTTAAGAAAAAACAGAATAGTCATGAATACATATAGTTATTTTTTCCATAACGAATACCATTTTATTTTAATGTTTTCTAAATACAACTTCTGTCTGTTTCCCGAGGTGAAAACTGAATTAAAAGGAAGAAGCTTTGAGTCTGTGGAGTAAGCTCTGAAAGAGAAATTAGCATGTGTCCTGAAGGAGTAGACAGAATGACCTCCAGCACTGTTACAGACAATGCAAGATTCACATAGAACAATGTAGGAGTAGAGGAAGGATGTATATTGAATGAAGGTGAAAATAAGTGAATAAGTATCAACTCAAAATACACTTGTTAGCCACATATCATATATATAAAGGGTGGAATGGGATAACGCTGATATATAATGGGCTAATTTAATAAAACAAATAGAAGTTTGCAGTCCATTGCTGAGGGGAGGGGAGGGGGATTTTAACTCTGGCATTAATCTTCCGCCCTCAACCCCTGGTCTAGGAAAACCCATATAACCCCTGGGCTATCAAGGAAGGGGAGGACGGAAAAAAAGCCACACATTCTATAGGGGACAGGATGTAAAATACACGTTGCCTGGCAACCTCATGAATCAAAGATTTCAAATCCTGGTGCCAGAGGAACTTCCAACATAATTCCCTCACCCTCTCCCCTGACCAAGGAAAAATCAAACTCTATATTATCATTCACCATTTAGTTTAAATATGGTAGCAGATTAAAGGCTTCGTTGACTAAAACTTTGAAGGTACAAACATATTTTTTTTAGAACCATTGACTAAAAAAAATAAAAGCAAAAATTAATACAAACCTCTTAGTAATAATTAGCAGAATTTTTAACTAGAGCAAAAATAACCAAGAAAGATAAATTGTTTAAAGATAGGTAAGCAGTCGACTAATCAATTATAAGAACGAAACAATATTTGACAGGAATGTCAGTCACGATATTTTTATTAGGTTAGGGGACGTTTCGACCCACATGTTTTGGGTCAAAACATCGGCTAACCTAATAAAAATATCTTGATTTAAATTCCTGCCAAATTTTGTTTCATCCATAAATTGTTTAAAATTACATTAAGAACCTTCCTCCTAAGAAAATAAATAATAAAAAGTAGTATGATGTACAGACCCATCCCATATTAACAAATTATTAATATTTGTCCAAAACATCATGAATGGCTTGCTTGCTTCATCTTTTTTTATTAATAAAAATTCTCAAAAGTGGGGCATTTTCTCATTGAACTAATTAGGTACTAACTATTCCTAAATACCCATCTGCTTTCCACTTGAATAATAAGATAATTTGATCACAAAATAGAGAGAAAAGGTACAAAAATATTGGTCTGTTTAGCCTATATAACCTTGTTATTTTGACATGTTGGGTATGGAGATTACGCCAAATAGCCCAATATTTTAGTAGGCCACCATTTTTTTCTCAATTGTGTGATCAAATTATATTAGAATTCAAGTAAATAGAAGCAAATAGTTGTTCATGAGATTTTAGTACCCCATTAAATAGACAACGTTTACCGATCTCCATATTGAAAACCCTCGGTTGAGAAGTCCCATTTCCGAGAGTGTTCGTAAATAAAAAAGTGGTAGGTTATGATAAGATGAAGCCATTCCCAAATATTTAGAGATATGTTAATAATTTGATAAAAAGATGACTTATTATTCAGGGTACTTATAATGATAAATTATTCAGGGTATGTAGAAAACAACTTACCAGCCTGTGCCAAAGGTTGGTCTCTGTAAAAAAAAAAGTAATAATAATAACAAGGATAAATATAAGATTCTTTAACAATTAAGTAATCTACATTAACACATTTCAAATTAACAGAGCATTCAATAAAGATACAATAATACATTGTATCGATTTACCAAATGATAAAAATAATAAGGTAGTCTAAAATACGTTTACCATAGTCTAGTATGGTAAACGTATTACTAGTATTATTTACCCAGTACTAATGGGTCTGTTGGTACTTTTTGCCATATCAATAGACAAGTTGTTCAAGTTGTTAAGTCCATAGAAACTATTGTTAATTTTTTAATATTATCTATAATTTTAAATATGGTTTTAGTTTAAACTAAAGAAAGTTTCATTTTTTTTAAAGAGTGACCATTGTCAATTGACAAAGCAAATTTAAATAGTTTTTCATAAAAATATAAATTTTTATTTTGAAAAGTAAGCAATTGGTGATGTTATTTTTAAAAGATTAATACAGATTTATTGTAAAGTTATATTTTAAGCAAATATAGGTAAAACATTTTTCATTCAGACCTAGTGCCGAAACATCCACATAAATTAAAATTACAATATAATAACAATTTTTGGATACAAGGTCAAAGAACTTTTTATCTATTAATATAACTTATAAGTGTCCCAATCTATACATAAAAAAAAAAATCTTTTAAACTGGTTTGAATTTCTCTTTACCTCAAATAGAGAGGGATGATGGGTACCGGGATCTGAAACAAGAAATAACAAATTATGGAATTACTTTAACCAGTTTTTAAATAACAAAAATTTATTAAAATTAAATCTGCTATTATTCTCTAAGTCCAAGGTTCAGTTTATCATAAAATTATAAAAACACAGGTCAAGATATCAAAATCACTAACTGATATAAAGATATTAGACAATAACTAGGATAGCTCAGGGCTCAAAATTCAATCAGAATTACAATAAGCATGGTCACATCTTCGAGCTCCTTCAATTCAAATCCTCTATTCGTTCCCGGTCTTTTGATTTATACATAAGGGCCCATCGAACCGCTGCTTTCGACAGATTGTTCATTATCCAATCCTCTTCCCTATGGAACTCCATCCCATTCCACATCCGTCAATCCAATACCCTTCCTACCTTTAAATCCCACCTATTCAATCATTTCTCATCCATCCAATCCCCATAAAATTGTAAATATATACTGCTGTTAACATGTACATAAATTATTAAATCGTTCTTCATTAATTTTACTTAATGTTTTTTTCATTTTTTTTATTATTAACTGATTAAATTTAGAAAGTAACTTATATATTTTTTTTAATTATGACAATTTAATTAGTCCATATTTTTGTTTATACATCTCTGAGGCTCCTAAGCCTCGGCTAAAGGTTGGTAATTTCTGTCTTTCTGTCTAAAGGGACTCGTCACAGAATAAATAAAGCATTATTATTATTGAAAGATTCATTATTGAAAATAATAGTTTTTTCTCTTGTGAATTCAAAATATCATTAAGTGGCATAATTTCTTAAGTTGTGATGTCTTATTAACTATACTAAACTAAACAAAACAATATAAAAAATAAATAAATAAAAAAAATACTGTACTGAGACGCAGAAGGCAGGGAAGTACTGTGTAAGAAAATACGTGTTTCTTGGTTAACAGTTGCGCAAGGGGGTGATTTGATTGAGATCACAATCACATGAGATCACCTCATTCCAAAACTCATTTATTGCTCGCTCTGTCAATTTCTGTAATTCCCTCCCTATCAAAATTCGACATTCCCCATCCAAATCCACATTCAAAACCCACCTATTCCAATTCCTATCCCAAAAACAGTCAGATAGTTGCTAACCATTCGACAAGATACATTTATTTCATGCCATTCATTGTCAAATATCAATGCTATTCCTTGCTAGGGATATTAATTTTCTTATAGGGTAAAGATTTTCCTACTCTTGATGTCACTGAACACATCTATTGTTGTTTATAACTATTATCTTTTATACACCACTAAATGTATTGTATGATGATGTATTTATATATTAATTAACATTGAAATGATAATGTATTTATATATTAATCAGGCACTTTATATTGTCAGGTTCAACATTCTCTTTTCTCAACAGAAACACAAAGCTTATTTAATGAAGAATTTAATTTTTTTTTTCTTTATTGTTTTCTTTATGTTATAAAAGTGTATACTGGTCTATCACTGCAATATTTAAGTGTCTTGTCATAGTGTTAATTGTTTTGTATATAGTTTCGTTTGTTTTGTGTTTAGAATGTTTACCTTATATGTTCTTTACATTATTTCTTTTTTTCTATTGATTTTATTTAGGCCAGTAGTAATCTTTTAATTTTGTTCTATTTTGTGTTGTTCTATAGATGATGATGATGATGTATTTATATGTTAATTAACATTGAAATGATAACGTATTTATATATTAATCAGGCACTTTTATATTGTCAGGTTAAGCTTTCTCTTTTCTCAACAGAAACACAAAGCTTATTTTAATGAAAAATTTAATTTTTTTTCTTTATTGTTTTCTTTAAAGTGTATATAAAAGTGTATACTGGTCTATCACAGCAATATAAGTGTCTTGTCATAGTGTTAATTGTTTTGTATATAGTTTCGCTTGTTTTGTATATAGAATGTTTACCTTATATGTTCTTTACATTATTTCTTTTTTTCTATTGATTTTACTTAGGCCAGTAGTAATCTTTTAATTTTGTTCTATTTTATTATTCTGAAGGGACTTTGTCCCAGAATAAAGTTATTTTCTATCTATCTATACACAAATAGGTTCTAATCATTTTGCATGAGAGTCTTAATCAAAATCGTTAAAGCTGTTTTTGAGAAAATTGTAAAAATGTTTGAATTCAATTATATAATATTAATATGGCACTTCCGGTCAGTCGATTTTGACAAAAAGTTGCTGTAATATTTTAGTCCTATATGTAACTTAAGTTTTGTAAGACTTTTTGTTATTGAGTTTTGTACACACATACGCACACACTCGCACGTACACGGAGTGCACACAATAAAACAGACTATTTCACAAAACTTGTTTTTGTTTTTTCGGACTCAAAGAACCTCAAAACGTGTATTTCTGTTGAAAACTTGGATTAAAACGTTCACAATACTTTCCCTTACTACATTTTTCATATATAGGACAAAGAAAGTAAAAAAAATCAATAAAGAAAAAAAAAAAGTACCTAAGGATAAAAATCATCCCTATTGAACTAAATATTTATTATTTATTCTTATTAAATCTGCTATTCATCAATACACTGTATAATAATATAACAACAAAATTAAAATTGAAGATTACGAAAAAAAAAACTTACTTCTTTCACTGTCATCCTCAATAGATCCCGAAGAACGGGATTTACATAGTCGTCTTCAATATTTTTCTCCTTTTGTTCCTCAGCATTAAATTTCTGGATGCTCTTTGCATAATATTTAACAGGGTCCTTAAAAAATACATGTTATGACACCAAAAATAAAACAAATCTATATTAATTTGAGCTTTAAATTAAATAAAATAAAATATAAAACAAAATTGTTCATATTTTGTTTATATTGTTTCTTTTATATGTACATATGTGCTTTATAGTCTTTATAGTCTTCATAATTATATATGCATAATGTTTTTGTCTATTTAATATATATTGTAAATGTAAATTGTAAGTATTTTTTTATTATTACGTTCGTTTTTGTTTTTGTTCACAATTTCAATAATATCAATACAATACAATAAATATGACTATGAAGATATTGTAATATGAATATAATACAATAAATATGAACATAAAGATATTATCAGTGGCTTATCAGTGTTAAGGTCATAAACATTGGCAGATAGCAGTAGTTGGCCATCTGCTATTATACAAGTACCAAAAGGAGTTATGTTTTTGTTTATGTCCACCTCTTCCTTGTCTTTTAGACTATATAGGAATTTTCCCGGAGCAGGAGAGAGGGTGGATGATCCATACCAGAGTTACAAACCTCCCTGGTACAGAGTCACGAATTCGTAATTATTTTTATATCTTGTAAACTTTGGTTTACATAGCAGAATTGGGGAGATTTATGGTGCTGAAGCTAAAAAGAACTGGTACTTGAATCACTCTAGATTGTTCCTGGAAGGAATCTGTCGAAAAAGAAGCAACTTACTAATTAATCTGAAAAGAAGCTCACTTAAGAAAATTACAACAGTATATACTGGACACTGTAAACTGAATTGCCACATGTTCAATCTCCGGCTCACGGAGTCGTCTCTCTGAAGGTACTGTGGCCAGGAGGATGAAACGGCTTATAATATTACTTGTTGGTGCGACAGGTTTGCTGGACTAAGATTCCGACTATTCAGCATTGATAGGGTGACTGATCCCAAGGCAAATGAGTTCATCAATCCAACATACTTATTACAAATAAGAGTGACATTAATAGAGGCGTACAATAGGTCTACATGGCCGCAGTGTACTCATGCTGCTTTAAAAAAAAAAAAAAAATCTTTGGTTTATCGTGTGGTTGGCTGCCAGGCAACTCATGTTTTCCACACCTATTAGCCTGCTCAGTCATCCCCAAGGAAGTTATATTGTAGATAAAAAAGTCCAACAAACAAGATACAAATATTTACTTTATGAATACTAACCTTCAAAGCTTTTGTTCGCTCAAGAAATTTAGTATATTCTTCAGCAGACATTATTGGATTAATTCGAAACTTGTACTTCACATTTTTATTTCTAGTTTTTACTTCCTTCAAATCAACACCAATGTTGGCGATGATCTTTTCCAGTTCCTGTAATTTAGATAAATGCTGTTAAGAAAATACAAATTTGAATTATAGAAAGGCTCAATATAAAACATAAAAATACATTAATAAAAGTTAAATTAATGATTTTCTGTGGCACGACTTAAAGAAATGAGACCTCATAAATTAGTTTCAACTTAATTAGAAGTCAGTCTAACTTGATTCCTCATTACCGAAATGCCTATATTCTAATACTCGTAAGACAGTAAGACTACTTCTTTTGAATCCTTTCAAATTGTTTTTTAGTAGAAGTTATTTTTCTAATTACATAGTTTATTTTATATACAAAAGAATTAGAAAGTTAGGAATATAACTACCCTAACCTAACTATTTTAAGTCAAGGCAGCCATGCCAAATGTAAACAGGATTGTCAATAGTCTGCTACTTTCGGCAACCATAATAACTTCTGGAAACAATAATATTCTTTGGGTCCAACCTGGTTATAAAGTTCTAAATGGGTCATTTTGATGCCGTTTCCACAGGGAATCACAGACATTAGTTTTGCCAAGTTGATTTCGGTTAGAGAATGCGGGAGCTAAACATATCAAGCCTGGGAAAATAGCTGAGCTTGACTTATGTGTGACATATCTAGGACCATTGTAATCTTTACACTAACTGGGTGAGATTTTGATCAATAATGGCCATAACATAAGAGATGGGAAATTCAATTCTTTTAACTAAACTGATTCACAATGATTCAATCATTAGTGTGAATCAATTCTTATGAATGATTCTTTTCATCTTCTTTTTTTAAATTAAAAAAGAACTTTCTCTTGAAAAAAAAAATAACAAACATTCTCAAACCTTATAGTTATTCAAGCAAAAACATTTTTTTTTTCGACTGATTGAAATAATAATTCATGATTCAAATTTACACAAATAAAAAGGTACAATCTTCCAAGTGATCAACCAGGTATTCGAACGGAATCGTGATTCTTTTGTGTGATTCACTTCTTGAGAGTATAATTGCTTCAGAGGATTTGATTATGAATTCACCTGCTCATCTCAATATAATATTGCTCGTTTCAATTTTTTCTGGGCCAACAGAATGTGGAGCATCATCAATGTCACAATTTCCTAAAATAAATTGATAGGTGTGTTTGGTTAATGCATCGCCCCACAAAAAATTTAAACTTTTTTGTGGACTTCTGTAGCATGCTTACTTTTTTAAAATAATATAGCAAAATATGCCGAAAATGAACAATATTTTCTTTGATATTCACAGCGTAATAGAAAAACAATACTAATCTAATTTTAACAAGGATTTATCGAAATGGTTGTTGACATATTACAGATAGGATTAACAATCCACCTTAAGGAATAAGTCATCAAATATTAAATGTATGGTCGTGACATTATAATAAACAGAAAAACCAAAAAGCTTTATTTGCCAATCCAATATTTTAAAAGGTTGAAACTGGAGAAGTATTTTATCTAGAAATTGACATATCAATCATAATAGATTGGTCACCCCAATGTAAAAGATTCTAATTATATCTCTATAAATATTTAATTCAAGAATAGATGAGATCATTACAAGTTGCAATGGTTCAACTGAAGGTTTGTCTACGGTTCTTGGAGCTGCGGAAAAGTCCATATCCACTGCGTGCTCAACCAGTCTTAAGGAAGATTTGTCCATCACTTGATAAGGTTGTGCATGAATAGGCAATGACATGTCCTGCTGGCCAATGTCGGGTACTGAGACAGACGGCAAATGCGTAGTCACATCCTTTAAACTTTCGGCAAAACGCAATTCTAAGTCTTCCTAAAATTGACAAAAAATCAGTTAACAAATGATTTTCTTAACTCAATAATTTAAAACAAGATAAAAGTAATTAATTTCTGAAAAATTTTAAAACAGAACGATGTTAAATAAAAAACTAAAAAAATTTAAATCAAATAAATAACTCAAAAAAATATTTATATAAACTCTGAAGTAAAGATTTTTTTAAGACAAAAATTTAATATTTATTGGCTTTTCACCACATTCTGAAAACGTAATAAACAAATTTATAGTTGGATATTACATAAATAAATATCGTTAGTTGCATTCCACTCCAAACTAAACAAAACAAAACAGGATTACCGGGTATTGACAGGGGAGTTAAGATAATTGCATTCCATACCAAAATTAAAACCTAATTATTTCAGTATATTAGCCAACTCATCAAGTAGAAGCAGGGTAGCTTCCAAATTGTATTACATAACTTATGGTATGGTATTAATGGGTTGTCCAGAAAATAATGCAGGATTTTGATTTAAAAAGAAAAAAGAAAGATTTATAACTGTTTTATTTAATCGAAATAGTCTTCACTACTATCAATATATGTCTGCCGTGTTGGCAACTTTTCCATTTCCTCGGAATAGAATTTCTCATCTTTAGAATTGATAAACTCCAAACACATTTTCTAATTCCTTTTGTCCATTAAATTTTTTGTAACGCAAGCATGATAATATGATAATACGTAGGCGAGAGGTCTGGAGAGTAGGGCGGATGTGGTAGAGTTTCATATCGAAGATCCAACAGTTGTTGTGACACCACACATGAGACTTGTTGCCGGGCATTGGCATGCAACAAAATGGGCCCTTTCCAATTGACCAAAGATGGCTTCATTATTGCCAATTTCTGATGCATTAATTTGGTTACAATACGATTCGGCATTGATGGTTTCTCCAGGATTTAAGAAGCTATTGTTTATCAAACCAAATGAAGCCCCCCAAACAGTAGCCATCACTTTTTTTTTGATACGTTGGAGACTTTGGAAAATGTTCTCCTTTGTCATGCCATTGTGTATAACGTCTACTGTTATCGTAAAGTATCCACTTTTCATCACACGCAACAATTCTGGGCAGAAAATGGTTGTTTTTGTTTTGGCAAAGAAGTGTAACACAAATTCATAATGATGGTTTTTTTGGCAGTCGTTTAATGTGGAACCCAACTTTCAAGCTTTCTTGTGTTTCCAAGCGCCTTGATGTGATCAATGACAGTCGATTTGCTAAGGTTAAGTGTCACTGCAAGTTCTCAAACAGTTGTTCAGGGGTTTTGTTCCACTAAAGCCCGCAGAACATTGTCATCAAGAGAAGAAGTCCTTATACGACCTTCTTTGTCTTCAAGACTGAAGTCTTCCTCCCAAAATTTTTTGAACCACTGTTGAATAGTAAACTACTTAATGCTGAATAGTAAACTCATTAATGCTGCTCTCGTCCCAGACTTGAGTGATGTTTCTGGCCGTCTGGGTCCCATTTCGGCTGAGTTTAAACTCATAAAACAAAATTATACGAAAATCATGCGTTGACATCTTAGTAAAGACTGAATTATTTCTAAACAGCGAAATGCTACTGAGGTAAACAAATATTATCGTCTGGAAGAGGATTAATAAGTTTTGACATTCATACAAGTGAATAATCCAGTAAATGTAAACAGTTTGTTATATAAAGGGGTATATTAAAGAAAACTCTAAATCCTGCAGTATTTTCCTGGCAACCCAATAGCTTTGGTAACATTTAATTGATAACTTTTAGATGTCTATTAAATAATTATTTAGTTTATTTGATCTCACTGTCTGATTTTATTGCAGGAAAATAAAGAAAAAGAAGGTAATATGGTAATTTAAGATAGTATAAGGACTGTAGATATGAATGACTTGGTAACAAACATGTTATGGTAAAATTAAGAAATCAAAGTGAATATTAGCAGTCTACTTACAGGGTGGATGGGTGCAGCATCTCCCAGAGAAGAAAGCAATAGCGAATCACTAGAAAAAGAAATCATTAACTATAAACTTTTCTACTTTATTTTACATCGAGAAACTTGTTTAGGAATTTGCCCATACCTTTAATTTTCTCAACATTAATATTAATTCCTTTCAATGGGAACCCCTTGCACCATTCATTTATTGCTATCTTTACTTTAGTTCCTTTAATGGCTGCTACCTATACTACTTCATCAGCTTAAGTAATCATCTTTACCAGAACTGGGATGGCGTTCCAATATCCCATACTACTAGTGCTCTCGATAATATTGATCTGCACTAATTATTGGTTGACTACAAGCAGGTGTTCAATCGATATCATCGCTGTTAAAAAATGGAGTGCCGCATAAATTAATTAATTTAATACGCATGACCAAGGAAAATGCATCATCCAAACTTGATATTTAAAATAAAGTTGATTGATTGTTTAAGCTGGATTGGTCAGGTAAACCAAATATATGAGGGCAGGGCCTCAAGCATTAGAACAGCTACACGTGAAAATCGGAGACTTCATGTTTGAATGAGTGAACAACTTTATTTATTTAGGCTCTCAAATGAACTTTGACAATAATATACAACAATAAATTAATAGATGCCTAATGGTTTCAAACAGATGCTATTTCAGGGTTCCTATAGACCGTCATAACACTTGTTCTGACCTATGCTTCTTAATGTTGGACGAGCTCAAGAACAAATTCTACTAAGATTCAAGAGGCGGATCCTCAGAAGAATCTTTAGCCCAGTGTTCAGGGATAACGTTTGTCAACAAAGTACTTATTCTAAAATAGGAAGAATGTATAATAATACAAATGTCGTCAGATTCTTAAGGATAGGAATGCTTCGTAGGGCAGGCCATGTTGCTCGAATGAAGAATGATGAGGTACCCAAGAAAATTTAGGAAGAACGGATATACAGCAAGATGAGAGTTGGAAGGCCAAGACTGTGGTGGGGCGATGGAGTGACAGAGGATGCACGGTCCATCTTAGTAGTAAGAAACTGGAGGGCAGTGGCAGTAAACCGAGAAGACTGGCAGTTGATGTTGCAGGAGGCCTTGATTCACCACTGAGCTATAGTGCCGGAAGAAGATTGTTTAATTTGGAGTTCATCAAGGAGACGCCTTATCGGCAATGTTATTCAACATAGCTCTCCCTCCAGGCTGCTATGAAAGATGCTGGCAAATTACTAGGGCTTCATTTGATGACCTAGTAATTGCTGCCAGAAGTTAAAGGCACTTAAAGAGGACTTTGAAATAATATACGAAAATAGTATGAATGAACCATTGTAATCAATCCAGGAAAAGAAAATTAATTCCTCAATCTCATGTCATTTGTTACGCACACTAATATATTACTCAACTCGACAATTATACAACTAGATCTAAGACTTAAGGATTGTGTGTGGGTTCTTAATGACCTATCTAGATTCAATAAGGTAACATTGAATGCTACCCGCAGTCGAATGCTACCCGCTATTAAATAAGTACCAAAAATTAATATAAATTAGTTTACCGCTCAAATAATGCAGCACCATCTACAGCTGAAGGAGGGACAGGTTCAGCCTACAAATCAGGAGATATCAGAAATTTAAATTCAATGAAATAAACATTAATAGAAGATAATATACCGCATCAAAGAAAGATGTGTCGAGGGGAGCATCCCTTGTCATTGGTACCTAAAACAAAAAATAAATTAAATAATTGTTCTTGTTTTAATCTTTGTCATTAATCGTATTATTAATAATATGGTGGAGATTATAATTTTAATTTATTTGTCAAAGCTTATTTCAGGCAGTGCAGAATTATTTTATAGTAATGTCTCTATTAGGACAAGGAAAATGTTGATAACATGTTGATACACAGACATTTTGAACTTTTTAAGAGATAATAACTTAAAACATTAGACATGTTGAACTAATTTAAGTTATATAATCTTATGCTATTTTATGATCATAGTAAACATAAAAAAATTCATAAATTACCTCAGAATCAAGAGTTTCGATGACAGTTAAGACAGGAACTAATTTCTTTGTTTTTCCTAAAACCAACAAAGCTATACATATGTAATAAAATATTCATTATAACAAATTATAAGAATTAAATAAATTCAAATATTTAATTGATGCAATGAAATCATTTCATAACAGAGAAGAAATATAAACATGGACTAAAAAAAAATAAAAAAAATAGCTATAACATTTTATTTAAGATTGAAATGAAAAAATATATCATGTTTATCGCAAAATATTAATTATCATTTCAAAAAATAAATTATTTTGATCAAATTTTTCTTAGTGAAATAAGAATATCGTGCACATAGTATAAGTAGTTTGTAAACAACAAAGTTTGTGTCTCATTTTTATGAAAATATTTTGTTTTTTCATAAAAATTATTTCTAAAATTTAGTTCCATCATAAATGTAAAAGCGATTTTTTTTCAATAAACTGGTAAAATATATGCAGTTGGTATTATATTCAATAGAAATATTTTTTAATTATATAATTTGATAGTACACTGCTGCAAAACCTGAATAAAAGAAAAGCAACTTGGTTGTTGGCACACCCAGACCCATTAGTTTTGTCCATATAGTTAAGATACTTAGCTGGATATATAACATAAACAAATAACGTGAGAAGGAGTTGATCGGGAGGTACGGTCAAATAAATACTAAATTATAAAAATAGTATTGATAGACTTCTAGGAGTCTATCAACTGCCTCCTGCAGTGCCTGATGCCACGCCCTAATGAAGACTTGCAAGATGGGTCGAAACGTCAGCATAATAAATTAATAATACTATTTTTATAATTTAGTATTTATTGGACCACAACCCCATCTCCTTTCCTCCGATCAACTCCTCATATTATATCATGGTCACTATATCATTATAAACAAACAACATTTACTTCCTGGACAAATAGACAAATGGTAAATAAAGCATGCAAAACAAAAAGAACAATAAAATTAAATCAAGTTCATAAAATAGTACAAAAATTATTAATAGTTAAGATATTTTAAAAACTAGTAAAAAAAATAAATAGATACAAAGTGAGTGTTTACATAAAAGCAATTAGTCTAGTAACATTTTTTGCCACCAAGAATCATTAATGTACAAACTCATGTTATGTCGGAATACATGGTTTTGTAAAGGAAACACAAAATGTGATTAATTCGAATTTTTACTTGGTCTGCATTCCCCTCCAGATAAAAGCATGCAAAATCCTTAATAATTATTAATGAACTCTAAAAAGAGAATTAGTTTTCAATTTTTTTTAAATTATCCCCTACTTCACCAACTCTGGCATACAGAAGGGGCTAGCCGAACCACAAAACATATTCTATCTTTAATACATAATGTAGAACAGAACATGGACTAACACAACAAAGATTAACTGCCTTCTTCATCTCTCTATTAGAATATAGGAACATTAGTCTTACACCTTATCTTTACTAAAAGGTTATATTAGTTTATGTATTTTGATTTTTTTTTCACACTTCTTGTTCTATATACTTCTTCTGATCCACTGTCCATTTACTCCCATCATCGTAGTTTTATTTTCTTGCAGTTTATCTTTGTTCCTCGAAAACAAGGTAAGTACAATTTTTTCAAGTAAATTCTTCCTAGCAAATCTCTGAGCAATATCTTTCCTAGGTTAGAAGATATACGACAATATTGAATCCCATTTCAAACAAAAAAACAAAGGATATTACTTCATTAAGTGTCATTCCAACACAGCTGGGCTAATATCACATGGATAACGCTATCAATAAGCCAAATACTGACAACCATATTCACTGGAATATTTAATGATTAATTTAATAAGATCAGAAAGTCAAACTCTCAGCTCTCTCAAGAGGTAGTACATAAACCCTCAAAATTTATTTCTTATCAGGGTTCTTTTCAGTTGAATTCAGTGGCTAACGGAGGAGTCCTTATCAATGGAAATGGATCTCTTTTAAAATTCATCTTCTATAATATAATTTAATTTTAATAAATGTTAGGGGATCAGCCGCCATAATATACTTTCACACACTCGACTATTTTAGGAATTCTATCTACTTGTGATCGGTGTGGTCACCCAGTCATTTTGGAGGGACAATTGTTAACTCTGAGCTAAGATCTGACAAGTAATGACTTCATTTATAGAAAAATAAAGTCTTTCGATACAAATGATAATTTATTATTGACAAAACATGGCTTTAATCTGAAAACAAATTCAGACATTATTAGAATACAAAAAATGAAACTGTCTGAATCGGATGAATAACTGTTTATAATCCAACCTTCTTCATTATAAACTTTAGTAACTTACCACTTTTTTTCTTTGGTTTCCTGCAATGAAATCAGACACAGTGAGATAAAATAAACTATATAATTATTTAGTAAAGATTTAAAAGTTACAAACATTATATCAGCTCTGTCATAAGGAATAGGAACCAATTGCCTTTCTTTGTATTTCAAATAATCTGAAAATTAAATCCATGTTAGGTATAACTTATACATAATACAAATATTCCATGTCTCTTTCAACACACTCAGATGGCTTACTTGAATAAAGTCTTTGAATATAATTAATTTGCACATTAAATACAATTGATATGCCTTCCAAAATATTTCTTGCATTATAAATGAGTACTCTACTGCTAGCACATAAAGAAACATCGGGAGCAGGTAAACCTTTAATATATTCTTGAAATTTAAATCTGAAAAAAAAAGAAAAGTAAAATGTCAATGAAACATGAGAGAATATATTCCAGAGATAATGTCACTGTGAATTATTTGCAATACTACTCACAAAATATTGTCAATTTCATATCGAGCTATTTTGAAATCCTCCTGTTTTAATTTTGAAGCTGTATAACTAGGCAAGTCCCTTATTATACACAGAACTTCATCCAGACCGTCATTGAAAATAGTATCGACATTCATGGTTTTGGAATATTATAACAATTTTCTAAGTAAAAATAAATTTTGATAATATCTGTACAAGTGATGTTATCTGTTATGGAAAAGACGCTAAGAAGAAGGCGCCAAATACCATCATCTAATTTATTATGTTACATATTTATTTAAACTTATTCAGTTATAATACGAAATAGACTTTACGATGTAATAATAAAATAATAACTTTATAAAAATAAATGTTTAAAAAAAAATCGAAACTTTTTTTCTTAATTATTAAATATATTTTTAAACTGTCATGTTCAAATTCTAGGCGGTGGTTCTTTTCTCAACAAATTGCTAATACCAATGATTATCCCTTATAATATAGCACATTTTCTGTTCTAATTACCTTTTAAATTAACATCCATATTAATGAATTTTATTTAATATAGTTTTTGTTACGAAATTATAAAGAAAATAATATAGTTTACTTTGTCAAAATTTTTGTGATTATATTCTATAAAGATATACTAATAATGACTTAATATTACAGTCCGTGGTACAGAACCCTTTTAATCAAATTATTACTATCCGGCTGAAACTTCGTAAATAGCTTCTTCTCATCGTAACCTACAAATATTTTATTTGCAAGAATTCTCGGAATTAAATCGTTCTCAATCTGGAGGTCGGCAAACTTTGTCTATTTAAATAGGTACTAAAAACTCGTATATATCCATTTTCTTACCACTTGAATCGTAAGATAACTTAAGCACAAAGTCAAGAAAAAAAGTGGCCTTCAAAAATATCGAACCATTTGGCGTGACCTAGACCCGCAAATTGTGAAAATAATGAGGTTATACAGACCAAGCGGCGCAATATTTTTGAAAGCCACCTCTTTTCTTTACTTTATGCTCCAGCAAATGGGTATTTACGAGTTTTTAGTACCAAATTAAATAGACAAAGTTTGCCGACCTCTAGATTGAAAACGTCCCAATTCCAAGAATTTTCGTAAATAAAATATTTGTAGTTAGATGAGATGAAGCTGTTTACGAAGTTTCAGTAGGATGTTAATAATTAGACAAAAAGGGGTCTGTGCCATGAATGAAAACTATTTTCAGATTCGATTTATGTAATATAATCCAAAATAAGTCGTAGTTATTAAGTTGTTTTGTTATTAAATGCATAATATTATCAATTGTACATCATATCTATGTATCATTCTTTTATTTGTTGGTCTAGGACCTATCCTTTTGTTATACCTTTGTTTATATATGAGTATGTAACATCGGTGACGTCTTAAAATAAAAGTAAAATATAGAACCAACGAGCTTAAATCTTTTATATTATTTTTTTCTGCCTCTGCTCTGCGTGGATTTCTTGGTAATAATATATCATCCAATTTTTTTTGGAAAATGAAAAAAGCATATTGCTCATTGTATTGAACTAATTCAATATTTAACAAATAACAAAAATCAAAAGATACGTTCAAGAAAACTTACCAAGTAAATGTTTGTCTTGAAAAACAATTCAGATTCATTTCTTGCGTTCTTTAAAACTATTTGTTCCGAATTTCGAGTATCATTGTATATAGCTTCTCCTATGAGTATCTTTGTAATAATTATATTTGTGTTAAGACCCCTTTCACGGTCAATATTATTGAGTCAATATCGAGTTTCGTCAATATATTGACCGAGTAAGGGTTACATTGTCATCAATTACATTGAGGTCGATCAAACTGGTAGGTTTCATTTTTTATTTAAACTCCTTTAATATTATTGAAATAACCTGTACCACTACAACCCATGAAGGGTCTTGGGTTCAGTACTATTCAGGGAAAGCACTGTTTCTAGGTCAACGGTTGTGCAAGGAGGTGATTTGACCGAGATCACGCTCAACCACCAGGTTTTCTCTCTTAACCAATTATATAATTAAGGGTGCTCACTTTATAGAGGCTGTGTGTGCCCCAGGAGGGCCTACCGACCCAGAGTCATTATATGTTATAATGAAATAGATAAATAAATTTTCTGCCATGAGACGGGGTTCGAACCTGGGACCTTTAGCATTGGAAGCTCAGTACCCTACCACTGAGCTACCCCACTCCCAATATTATTGAAACAGTGTCAATATAATTATACGTGTAAGGGTTATATTGAGCAATATTAAACCACATATACGGATTTTGAGAACCTTTTTTTTTTTTAATGTTTTACCATACCTTGCCTTTTAAGCTATACGGGATTTTCCCTGGCCGGAGGGTAATGGCGGGGAATTTAAAATAGTAGGCACTATTTTACGTACGAGTACCGGGACACGAACTCGTGCTTTTTAATCTCTCAATCTCTGTTATCTGGTTGCCGGCAACTCGCGGTGCTGTGCACACGCTTTAGCCCATTCGGTTACCCCGCCCCTTTGGATTTTGAGAAGCTTTAGGAGATACCGAATTTCCCTCCTGCCAATATGTTTGAGTAAGGGAGGGGGATACTTTTTTTTGTGAGGGGAGGTTAATTTCCTCCCTACGATTTTTTAAAAGATAGAATGAATATATGTTTCGGTAGGTGGATGATACTTTGTTTTCCTTTCATTTTGGGTGGGAGGGTTAACCCTCTCCCCCCCGATTTTGTTTTTAAAAGATATAACAATAATATTGGCTCAATAATATTGACGGTGTAAAGAGCCGTTTAGTAACGGTACGTATCGAAAATGGCCGAAAACTTTCTAAAAAGGTTTTCACGCGAAATATTGGGAATCTACGGATATAAACCTAATTATGTACAATAAATTATTTTTTCGACAAGTTTCGTAATAAATGTTTCTGATAAAACTCAGAATTTTTCCAAAAGATCTATTTTTCACACAATCATTACTATTGTTTGGACAAACAGTCGTAAAAGGATATGAAAAGTGATGCTAACGTATAAATTTAACAAATTCGATGGGCAAGAAAACCAAATTTAATCAATTGTTTTAAATTAAGTTATATCACCGTTTTCAATTTGATTTATCTATATATGAAAAATACCCTACCTACTCTAAAATTGGTAATTGAAAGGTGTGTGATGCGCGCACAGCCCCAGATTTTTTTTCATCATGTATGAAATGCTTTGTTAAATGTTGTTATTTTAATCAGCATTAAAAAAACAAAAGTAATATGCGGTCGCTTGTTTATCTGTTCTGGGGATTTCCAACAGTCACGGAGATAATACAGGATTTTTTTATTTTTTTTTTTATTGAAAATAATTTATGTGGGTAAAACCCGAGAAACTATCACTTCGGTCAATGAGCAAGGGTGATATTTGTTATTAGGAAATCAGGTATTATATAATGTTTTATAGATAATTACACAGTTTAATTAGATCTGATTTGGGCTGAAAAATAAAATAAAATGAGATAAATATGATATATTTAAATTATTTATTTATTTTTCTTGGCTTTATACATTTATTTACACCTGTCCACTTTATGTTGACAATCAACAATTGTGCTGGAATTACGAGAAATAATGATATGTCAGGCAAGGGGAAGGATAGTACACAGTAGCACCTCTTCCCTGAATTGTTTCAATTACTTAGGTTGTTTAAGGAAGGAGATCTCTCATCCAACGTATTTTTATTAATCTAATGTCTCCTATTAATCTGTTGTTGTGTTTGTGATATTTGGCTTTCAATATTCCACCCCTATCCAAAAAGAAGAGGGTTAAATTTATTATGAGGAGTTGATTGGGGGGTACGGTCAAATAAATACTAAATTAAAATATAGTAATTATTTAATTAAATACGAATATAGTAATTGTTTAATTAAATAATTACTATATTTTAATTTAGTATTTATTTGACCGCACCCTCCAATTAACTCCTTCTCATATTATATCAACAGTCAACCATCTCTACATCATTAAGGTTAAATTTATTGTTTTAGGAGGCTTTCCAAATCGGCTTATCAAAAATACTATTCACCTTGGTTGCATATGTATATACTTAAAAAATACAAAGAAAAAGAAAAAAGCTATGTAATATAATAATCTTTTAAGGCCATTCAAAATGTTTTTTTACTTTTTGTACCATCTGCTGCAATTATTAATTTATTATATATATATATATATATATATATATATATATATATATATATATATATATATATATATATATATACATGGTGTTTCGTAATTGCACGGCACTATTTTAGATGTGTTCACTAAGACAAAATAAACAAAAAAGTTCATATTAACATATATCTCAAACTCATATATTAAAAAGATATTATAGGTTAAAGATTTATTATTTATTATTACTATTTATTCATTATTATTACAACATTTAGAGTAACTGTTCAAATGGGCCTCCGTTTTGTTGAATGCAACCTTCAATACTGCGCAGTTGCAAATGGAGTAAAAGAATAAAATTTAAATACTAAAATAAAATAATACATTTATTTACTCTATAAGGTTTTCAAATAAGATCATGACTACACAAATATAAGGTATTTTATTTTAAAAAACGACATAAATTCATGTCAAAAAAAATTAATGTTTTAATTTGGTTATTTTAATTACAACCTAACATAGATAGTTATGTACTCTGTTATTGTTGGTATTGGTATTATTTTCAGAATCCAGGATTGGGCCAGCTTAGCTTGCTTGTGTTGCCCGTGGTATCGATACTCAATTAAAAGTAAGAATAAATTGGTATTATTGTTGAAATGTATGAAAACTTTTAATTACTACCAATGATAGATATTGTTTTTCCAGAACTGGAGAGGATCCAATTATTTATTTTAAAAAATAGGGATCGAAACGTTTGAATGAAAAGAATAAACAGAAGTTGTTTTGCGGTTGTAGTTGTTGTTGCGGATGACCTGGATCGTGCGGTGAGTATAAACGCCAAAAGAGAAGCTTTTAAAGCATTAGAGGAGTCTGCAGCAAGACTGGGCCTAATGGTGAATGTTGAAAAAACGAAGTATATGTGCATCCTACCCACCCACGAAGATGGCGGGAGTCATGTCTGGATAGGTCGCCATAGATTTGAAAGAGTGGAATCATTCATATACCTGGGATCCCAGATCAACCGTAATAACTGTATTGAAGAAGAAATCCAAAGACGGATCCTCTCCGCAAACCGCACCTATTTCTCCCTCCATAAACTCTTGAGAAGTAGTGTGTTGTCGAAGGCCTCGAAAGTGAGAATTTATAAGACAATTATACGACCAGTTCTTTCATATGGCTCAGAATGTTGGACTACAACTTAAGTCCTTGAGCATCTCCTTCTCCGTTTTGAAAGAAAAGTGCTTCCCCGTATATATGGTGGTATATATGAGGGAGGCGCATGGAGAAGAAGAACGAATGCTGAGTTAAGAGCGAGGTACAAAGAAATAGACGTATCAACATTCGTAAAGGTATCAAGACTTCGCTGGGCTGGTCACGTCATAAGGATGGATCCAAACGAAGTTCCTTGCAAGATCTTAGGTGGACAAATGTATGGTACCAGGCGGGTTGGACGCCCAGACTTCGCTGGGAAGACTGCGTGGCTGCAGATCTGAGATAGAGATCTAGCAGAGGCTCGGTCTTATGAACTGGAAGGCAGTAGCACGGAACAGGGAGGACTGGCGGTCTAAGCTTGAGCAGGCTATGACTCAAATAATGGGTCGTAACGCCGAATAGGAAGAAGTTGTTTTACCTCATTTATGTGTATTTCGTGACCTATTATCCGACAATAATTGATATCTTAAGTTTATATATATATATATATATATATATATATATATATATATATACATATATAAAAATATTCTTCAAGACAAGGAGGTTAAGATAGACAGGGCATGTAGCTCCATCAGGAAACATCATGAGAATAAAACCTATATTATATTTAAAACTGCTTCATTTTACACTGGTATAACTAATTTAATCAAAATCGTTATAGCTGTTTTCGAGAAAGTATTAAAAAAAATGTGTTAAATCGATAACATAAAGTGCAACTTCCGGTTAGCTGATTTTGACTAAAAAGTTGCTGTAACATACCAGTCATACAAAAAACTTAAATATGCAAATTAAACATTCCTACGACTTATCGTTTCTGAGCTAGACTGATAACACACAGAATATTTTGCGGGAATTGGTTATTTGGGCTCGGATGATACTCAAAACGTGTATTTCCGTTTTTTTTTTTAATTTATTTATTACCAGATCGGCCTGGTGGGCCTTACATGGTTGTTGTAACAATTTGATGATTTTTAACAATTTGTTCTGGTGAGGTATAGTCTTTGCAAAAGACACCCCTAACTATTTATACATTATAATTATTGAATAATTACAATTAATAAAGAGAAAATTATTAATTGTTCATAACATGATGTCTTGGATCAGTCTGGGCTTCAGTCTTCGAGATGAGGTTGGGTTTCCTAAGTTGTAGGCCACTGCACCTTTAACTGCTGGTAGCTGCGTATGGAATTTTTTAAATCGTTTTTTGATGAATTCATCTATTGTTTCCACTTTTAGTTCTCGATGTAGTTGAGCGTTTCTTCTGAACCAGGGGGCATCTACTGCAATTCTTAATACCTTGTTTTGAAAGGATTGCAGTTTTTTTCTTTTCGTAGCTGAAGCTGCTCCCCAGACTTCACATCCGTACATTAGCAAGGGTCTTAGTATGGTTTTATGAATAAGAACAGTTGTCTCTGGTTTTAAACTAGATTTTCTATTTACTATGGGATATAACATTGCTAACCTTGCGTATGTTTGGGTCAGTTTATTATATATATGGTAATTCCACGTAAGGCGGCGGTCCAGATAAACTCCGAGGTATTTTACTGCTTCACTAGCTGGGTTCCATTTTAGTTCTTTATTTTTGAGAATCAGTTCAGGTGGGTCTGAGGGACGTCTAAGAGTAAAAATTTTTGCTGTACATTTTTCGGTGTTGAGACAAATCATCCATTTTTTTTAAATATTGTTCTAGATTTACTAGGTAAGACTGCAGTGTATTTCTGGCTATTAATATATCATTGTGTTGGGAAAAGACAGCTGTATCGTCGGCAAACATAGCTATGGAGGTGTTTGTGGATTGGATAATGTCGTGAACATAAAAGTTAAAAAGTATGGGAGAAAGAACAGAACCTTGTGGGGTGCCGGCATGGATTTGTCTTAAGGTTGAATTTATATTATTTATTCTAACTGTAAATGTTCTGCCGTTGAGGAATGAGCTCAGAACGTCATATAAATATTTGGGCGTGTCCACTTTCTTTAGCTTGTACAATAGCCCACAATGCCAAACCTTATCAAACGCTTGTTGAAAGTCTAAAAACGTGACAAGAGTATGTTTTTTCATTTCAAATCCATTTACTATGAATTCTGATAATCTTGCCAGTTGGTGTGAAGTGGAATGACAATACTGAAAACCAAATTGAAAATCAGGAATAATGCTATTACATTGTAAAAAGGATGCAAGATGTCTTTTTATGACTGACTCTAGTAATTTTCCAACTATGGGTAATAAACTTATCGGTCTATAGCTACTGACTTTTTTAGCATTTTTACCATGTGTATTTCCGTTGAAAACTGAAATTCGAAAATTGTCACGATCGCAATACTTTCCTTTGCTATATATTTGATACATAAGTAAGTGAAGGTAAAAATTATAATAGGAAACAGTCGAGCATATCTTTAATGTAATGTGGATGAATCACGCCTCAAAGGAGCAAGTGATCTAAGAAAAAATAATTTCATGATAGAAAAGATTATCTTTAATCATTGCCCCGACTGATAATTTTCTGGTTTTCCCAGACGCGTTTTCTTGTTATGATCATAAAAAACAAAAAAAAACTTTCTTCGATTAAAAATATATAAATGTTTAAATATATTATGACGTCTTGAAATCAGTTGATAACTTCCCTGCAACGAACATCCAATACACTCCAATCCACCCAAAAATCCAATACACGATCTTTGAGATATAGCCTTTCCAAGGAAAATATGTTTTCACATATGTAAGAAGTAGTAATGGATGGAATTTAACAAATCTGATATAGCATTATTTTTTAACATTTCGAAACTGTTATTTGTCACAAGTATTTTTTAAAACTAGATTTGTTATAATTGTTATTAAAAAATACTTATTGTTATCTATTCAACTATCCCTTCTCTCTTTTTCATACAGCTCTGTGTCGTGGTGTACTCTATACGGTACCAGTTACTGAAGCTTGTAACGAAAAGTAATTTACAAATACTTTTAAAGTAAATTGCTTCAGAATTTCCTACTTATTAGTGTTCATCCAAACTAACATGTATGAGTCCGGAATATTAAATTTAGAGTAATCAGTGAGAAACATTTTGGAAAACCCTGAAATGAAGTAAATACAAATAATAATAATAATAATACATAAACAAAAATATTGAGTAAGTTAATAGTTAAAACAAAAAAAATAATAAAAGAAATTATATGAGAAGGAGTTGATCGGGCACCTGCAAAGTGGGTCGAAACGTCGGCAAAAATTAAATAATTCTACTTGTTTAATTTAGTAGTAATTTGACCGCACCCCCCGATCAACTCCTTCTCATATTATATCAACGGTCAACCATCTCTACATCATCAAAAGAAATTATAAGTTACTTTCTAAGTTAAAGCAGTTAATGATAAAAAAAATAAAGTAAAAATACTGAAGAACGATCTGATAATTTATATAAATATTTAAAGCAGTAACTATTTACAATTTTATGGGGACTGGATGGATAAGAAAGGATTGAAAAGTAGGTATTTAAAGGTAGGAAGGGTTTTGGATTGGCGGATGTGGGGAAGTATGCAGTTCCATAGGGATGAGGATCGAATAATAAAAGATTTATCGAAAGCAGCGGTTCGCTGGGCCATTATATATAAATCTGAAGACCGGGAGCGGGTATTGCGGAAGTGGACAGAGGATTTGAATTGAACAAGCTCGGAGATGTATGGAGGACGGCGGGAGTGAATTACTTGGAAGAGGAAGGATGCCAAGAGTACTATACAGAATTTAATAAAATCGATAAGGCTCACGGGCGGATCTACGGGAGGGGCTTTCGGGCTGAAGCCTCCCCCCAAAATGGAAAATATTACCATGTTTTATGGGAAATTTTTTTTAAAAAATACCTCTTAAAGTATTATTGTTCATGTAATTACATTTAAAAGTACTTGAGGAATAACTGAAACACCATTTCATATAGGTAGTTAGTTTATTTCTGTTTTTCCAAAATAATTATCGTTATTTTTATGAAAAAAAAAAAAGGTTTCGGGCTGAAGCCCTCCCCCCCCCAAAATTACATCCTGGATCCGCTAGTGATAAGGCTTCATTATGTTATCAATTCTCTCCTTCCTTTCAAATTTAAACCCCATCGATCGATCCATTTCTGAAATATTGGTATATCTAAGAATGTGCATCATGGGATATTGATTGACCAATTTCTGTAAGCAGTCCTTTATTGGTCTTTATTCTCCATGTGTTAGTACCCTGATCCCAGGTCGCTCCGGTTATCCTGCGGAGGATTTTCCTCTCAAAGCATCTGATGTTTTTTTTCCTAAGATGCTGGTTAGTTTCCAGTTATCACAGCCATACCTATACATTTAATTTCATATTTCTGTTATTTAATTTTTTTTATTACTGCTCTATTCCATACATAGGTCCGTAATCAAAGTTAATCTTACCTGACAAGTTATGAACGAATAATTGTTTAAGAAATAGTTTTCCTACTGTAGAACAGAACATTTTTTTAGACGTCATATTTGCGATTTATCTATCGATGGCGAACAATTTATACCCACAAATTATTACAACGAAATTAGTATTAATTTCCTTTTAATAATCGGGTATCCGATAAGGTGATAAGACTACGCAATTTAAAAATAATGACTGACCACCCACGATAACCTTACGTTTTAGCAGATATCAACAAACCAACAATAATCCACAACCGCTAGCAAAGAGAGCGGTGTTATTCAACAGCAACCCTCCATCGAGGAAGGTAAGTACCTCTATTGCAGATTACTTTCAGTAGCCAAATCTACTTTTCTTATTATATAAGTTCCTTGAAACTTAGATTAACACAATGACATGATATCAAACCCTGAAAATATTTCATGTTCGTATTCGTACTTTAATAACTGCTTCGATCTTCAAACGAATAAGTAAATATGGATGATGAACTGTTTCAAGTATGGGATAGAGTCACAGAATACGCAAGGACGGTTAGAAACGGAAGGTTTTGAACGAATGAGATATTTGTGAATTCTTAAAACTCGGGATAAGGTCTTTCCCTTTATCAATTAGTCAATTCAAAGGGGAGAATTTATTTTTACTTCGATTTATCCGCACCGAGGACTCGACAGTTAAACGAATAGACGGATGAAAGCTATACCATTTAAAATACCTTGATCTATAAATAGCAATTGATTAACTCAGATATTATTAAAAATATAAATTAAACACTTTTGCAGCATAAAATTTATCATGAAACAATTACAAGAGGACTTTTTCATATAAAAGTGTGTTCCTTGACCTATTTATTTTCTATGATCTTCCATACTTTTGCATCAAGCAAGCAATGCCGCGTCATGGACTCTCCTAGTTCCTCGACTACCGTTTTTCTAGACTCACCTCGTCCTTGTGTGCTTTAATTATTTCAGTTTGATCTTCTTGGGAACCCGAAAGCTTTCTGTTTATTTATATACATATACAACGATGATAACTTTGGAAGAAAAGGATAGAAACTAACCTATATGAAATTATGTTGAAGTGATTTTTGGAGCCCTATTTAAAAATATTAATAAAATAAAATGTAATTACACGAATATTGATATCAAAACTTTTAGAGATAATTAAAAAAAAAAACATGAGACATAGTAATATTTAGTAGCTTTATATGCATTGTAATTTAAAAAATAGAACATAAGTACTCGCATAAAAATCTCGGTTCAGGAATTATTTTTAAAAAACCATACCAAAAAGAAATGGATGGGAAGAATATTAACAGGACTTTATCCAAATTTATCATTAAATCCATTTATCATTAAAATTAATTTGCTGTAATATTATATGGTAAACAGTCAGCCTTCCGAACCTAGAGAAAATCCTGAAGATTGAGAGAAAGATTCTGAGAAGGATTCACGGATCCAAGGTAACGCAAGAGTTATACAGACTAAAATCCAATAAGCATATTTGGAAGATTTGGAAACTGTCGTTAGGACCAGAAGATTGAGGTTCTTGAGGATGAATAGTGAATGACTGAACAAGAAAAATATTGACAACGTTTGCAGCTATAAAAGTTTAGGGGGATATGTAAAACAAATAAAAGAGGAACTAGAAAGGCTAAAAATCACGGATAAAGATTGCTTGAATAGAGAGCTTTTTAAGGAAAAACTGAAAGGAGAAGAGGTTCTTGTTGGTGGGAGGGAGAGACGAGGGAGAAAATGGACTAAGGAAGAGAGAGAGGAACAGTCCAGGAGGATGAGAGAGAATTGCAGTAAGAGGAAGGCTAAGGGTGTGAAGAGGAAGGCTGGCCAGTTCGAGTAAAATAAAATAAAAAAACTAATTTGATTTGACTTTTGTTTTGCCGCATTAAATATGACCACCATAAGCGCTAAGCTTATAGATGGTGTCGAAAATATATTACACCATTCCTAAACTCAGGGGTGCCCATTCCCGCTCCCCCCCAAGGTTAATGGCACCAGAACCTACCCCCTCCTCCCAAGATATTTTATTACTCCCCTCTTCTTAAAAACAGAGCAAGCTAAGGTAGAATTTGAAAAATAGTAGATCATATACAATTACACTTACTGCGGTCAGTTCCATGTTTTCCGTTTGCCACTTGGTCCGAAAATTCATAATTCCGTCGAAATTCGCCTCTCCCCCTCAAAAATTCAAAAACCTGTCAAAGTATGCCCCCTCAAAAATTTTGATGGCGTAACTTGTGCCATCAAACTCCCTTCAGGGCACTCCTCACCTAAGCTTCCTGAACAAGTTTCTGAAGGAATCCCTTAGGTCCCTGCTCGCACATTCTACACCTCCTTTTTGGGTATTCATTGACTGGACTAATTGGCTTCCTTCATTTTGGTATAAATTAAATTGGAAAGACAATCCATAATTAATATCTGAAGTCAGCTCCTGTTCAATTCCCAAAGAGTATCATTAAAACCTACTTATACCTATATTTACTAACTGCAATAGTTTACTGAATTCAGAGCTATCATCCTATTGGAGCTTTTTATATTTAGTTTAAATATCAACTCAGACAACAACGAAATATAAACTCATCTATGGAAACCATCAATGGAATAAATGATGGCTGAGGCTGCATGCAACCTGTGTTCATATCTCACAATTTAATTTACATATGTATATTCAGTTCACATTTTCTATCTATATTTATTATATATATGTATATATATTTATTTTAATTAAACCATTCAATAGGTTTCATGATTATTTTTTTCCAGGAGTGTCAATCTTCCGCAAAAATTGTTATCTATCCATGAAATTAATACCAAGTTAGGAAACTTATCCAAGTAGAAAACTTGTTAACCGAATCGAAAAATCGTAAACCTTCAAGAAAACTGGTAGGTTTTAAAAAAATAAATAAATAAAAAGTTCACCCTTTATTTTTTTATAAGTGTTTTGAAAAATATTTTGTAGGTATTATATTGTAAGTTTTCAGTATTTGTTTTACAGGTATTTTATATATTTATAAGTATATATTTTTGTTAGAGATTACCTTACATTTTATTTTATTATTCTCTTTTTTTAATGGAATAATATTATTGATAAAAAGTTTTAAGTATTAATTTATTATTAAATGAATTTGATTCATCTCAGTTATTTTTCAACATTTTTGTTTTCATAAATAAATTCACATAAACAAAAAAGAAGGAAGAAAAGGTAGAAAGTTTTATAAATTACTAGTTGATAATTTTATAATAAATTACTTAAGAATAAAAACAATTAAAAAAATCAAACATATTAACATATTTTTTTATGTTCGCCCAGAATTTTGTTACTTGTATTATGATTTATTTTAACATCAAGAAATTTCAAATTCATTGACACCAGAAACTACTTGAAATTCTCTAAATATAAATCGAAACTTAGAGGCTATAAAAGGGTTTATACCTCTTTGCACGTTTGAATCTCTTTGTACAAGAAGGTTTAAACGTGAATTACGAAAGTGAGCACTGGCGGTTCCAGAATTTAATTTTGGATGGGGGAGGAAGGGAAGTTTCAGTCCAAAAGCTTTTTTTTTTCATGTATATGACGATAATTACTTTAGAAAAAAATAAAGATACTAACTACCTAAATGAAATGGTGTTTAAGTGATTCTTAAAGTCCTATTTAATGTACACGAATAATAATACTTTAAGAGATAATTTTTTAATATTTGTTTTCATAAAATATGGTTACATTTCACCATTTTGGAGGGGAGGGGAGCTTCAGCTCCAAACCCCGTAAATCCGCCTGTGAAAGTGAGTTTTACCTCAAGTAAAATAAAGCTTGCATACCATACTAAAAACGCTATTTTCAAGAATGTTAGGAAAGACAACTGAGGATCGAAACCGGTTCATGTCAATAATGTGGTGCACGTTTTCAGTTTTTTAACTTATATATACGAGTACATGGATGCAAACATAAAAATAAAATTCAACATAGGTTATGTCAGGAAATTTTGTTGTAATGAAGAAACCCTTGTTTTTATTTTAAGACGTTTTATCACTTATAACTCTTGAACTGTGCAAACAAGTGATAAAAGTTGTAGTTAGCATTAGTAAATCCAGGATTTAATTTTGGGGGCTTCAGCCAGAAAGATTTTTTTTTTTTTCATATACATATAATGAAAACTAGTAGGCCCGTGCGAAACATTCGCACAGCATATTGTTATCAAATGCTAAATTAATAAGAAAATAAAATAATGCAACGTATCTAAAGATAAAGAAATCAATTGTTACTTTATCCACAAAGGAAACAAAATTAATTTAAATCTTCATTTTTGTTTGGAACCAACATATTTACAAATTTCAATAAGCTGTATCTTTGCGAAAAATTGTCCGATTTCAATGATTTTTTTTTTCCTTTTGTAGACAATTAAGTAAAGTTTTATATAATCATAGGAACAACCAAAGGAAAAGTGTGTAATTTTGTAGTTATTCGCAAATAAAGTTTCTTTTTTTTCATAACTTGTTTGCCTGAATTTTCGGGGTGATTGGAACATTTTTCGCGCCTGAAGGAGAAGAAATCCTTCGAAATTGGTGGCTCGATCTTGAGATTTAGTGAAGAATTGACGATGATATTGTTCGCCATCGATAGATAAATCGCAAATATGACGTCTAAAAAAATGTTCTGTTCTACAGGATAAAGATTGCTTGAATAGAGAGCTTTTTAAGGAAAAACTGAAAGGAGAAGAGGTTCTTGTTGGTGGGAGGGAGAGACGAGGGAGAAAATGGACTAAGGAAGAGAGAGAGGAACAGTCCTGGAGGATGAGAGAGAATTGCAGTAAGAGGAAGGCTAAGGGTGTGAAGAGGAAGGCTGGCCAGTTCGAGTAAAATAAAATAAAAAAACTAATTTGATTTGACTTTCGTTTTGCCGCATTAAATATGACCACCATAAGCGCTAAGCTTATAGATGGTGTCGAAAATATATTACACCATTCCTAAACTCAGGGGTGCCCATTCCCGCTCCCCCCCAAGGTTAATGGCACCAGAACCTACCCCCTCCTCCCAAGATATTTTATTACTCCCCTCTTCTTAAAAACAGAGCAAGCTAAGGTAGAATTTGAAAAATAGTAGATCATATACAATTACACTTACTGCGGTCAGTTCCATGTTTTCCGTTTGCCACTTGGTCCGAAAATTCATAATTCCGTCGAAATTCGCCTCTCCCCCTCAAAAATTCAAAAACCTGTCAAAGTATGCCCCCTCAAAAATTTTGATGGCGTAACTTGTGCCATCAAACTCCCTTCAGGGCACTCCTCACCTAAGCTTCCTGAACAAGTTTCTGAAGGAATCCCTTAGGTCCCTGCTCGCACATTCTACACCTCCTTTTTGGGTATTCATTGACTGGACTAATTGGCTTCCTTCATTTTGGTATAAATTAAATTGGAAAGACAATCCATAATTAATATCTGAAGTCAGCTCCTGTTCAATTCCCAAAGAGTATCATTAAAACCTACTTATACCTATATTTACTAACTGCAATAGTTTACTGAATTCAGAGCTATCATCCTAGTGGAGCTTTTTATATTTAGTTTAAATATCAACTCAGACAACAACGAAATATAAACTCATCTATGGAAACCACCCATGGAATAAATGATGGCTGAGGCTGCATGCAACCTGTGTTCATATCTCACAATTTACTTTACATATGTATATTCAGTTCACATTTTCTATCCATATTTATTATATATATGTATATATATTTATTTTAATTAAACAATTCAATAGGTTTCATGATTATTTTTTTCCAGGAGTGTCAATCTTCCGCAAAAATTGTTATCTATCCATGAAATTAATACCAAGTTAGGAAACTTATCCAAGTAGAAAACTTGTTAACCGAATCGAAAAATCGTAAACCTTCAAGAAAACTGGTAGGTTTTAAAAAAATAAATAAATAAAAAGTTCACCCTTTATTTTTTTTTTTAAGTGTTTTGAAAAATATTTTGTAGGTATTATATTGTAAGTTTTCAGTATTTGTTTTACAGGTATTTTATATATTTATAAGTATATATTTTTGTTAGAGATTACCTTACATTTTATTTTATTATTCTCTTTTTTTAATGGAATAATATTATTGATAAAAAGTTTTAAGTATTAATTTATTATTAAATGAATTTGATTCATCTCAGTTATTTTTCAACATTTTTGTTTTCATAAATAAATTCACATAAACAAAAAAAAGGGAGAAAATGTATATAAGTTTTATAAATTACTAGTTGATAATTTTATAATAAATTACTTAAGAATAAAAACAATTAAAAAAAATCAAACATATTAACATATTTTTTTATGTTCGCCCAGAATTTTGTTACTTGTATTATGATTTGTTTTAACATCAAGAAATTTCAAATTCATTCACACCAGAAACTTTACTTGAAATTCTCTAAATATAAATCGAAACTTAGAGGCTATAAAAGGGTTTATACCTCTTTGCACATTTGAACCTCTTTGTACAAGAAGGTTTAAACATGAATTACGAAAGTGAGCACTGGCGGTTCCAGAATTTAATTTTGGATGGGGGAGGGAGGGAAGTTTCAGTCCAAAAGCTTTTTTTTTTATATATATAACGATAATTACTTTAGAAAAAAATATAGATACTAACTACCTAAATGAAATGGTGTTTAAGTGATTCTTAAAGTCCTATTTAATGTACACGAATAATAATACTTTAAGAGATAATTTTTTAATATTTGTTTTTATAAAATATGGTTACATTTCACCATTTTGGGGGGGAGGGGAGCTTCAGCTCCAAACCCCGTAAATCCGCCTGTGAAAGTGAGTATTACCTCAAGTAAAATAAAGCTTGCATACCATACTAAAAACGCTATTTTCAAGAATGTTAGGAAAGACAACTGAGGATCGAAACCGGTTCATGTCAATAATGTGGTGCACGTTTTCAGTTTTTTAACTTATATATACGAGTACATGGATGCAAACATAAAAATAAAATTCAACATAGGTTATGTCAGGAAATTTTATTGTAATGAAGAAACCCTTGTTTTTATTTTAAGACGTTTTATCACTTATAACTCTTGAACTGTGCAAACACGTGATAAAAGTTGTATTTAGCACTAGTAGATCCAGGATTTAATTATGGGGGCTTCAGCCAGAAAGATTTTTTTTTTTCATATACATATAATGAAAACTAGTAGGCCCGTGCGAAAAATTCGCACAGCATATTGTTATCAAATGCTAAATTAATAAGAAAATAAAATAATGCAACGTATCTAAAGATAAAGAAATCAATTGTTACTTTATCCACAAAGGAAACAAAATTAATTTAAATCTTCATTTTGGTTTGGAACCAACATATTTACAAATTTCAATAAGCTGTATCTTTGCGAAAAATTGTCCGATTTCAATGATTTTTTTTTTCCTTTTGTAGACAATTAAGTAAAGTTTTATATAATCATAGGAACAACCAAAGGAAAAGTGTGTAATTTTGTAGTTATTCGCAAATAAAGTTTCTTTTTTTTCATAACTTGTTTGCCTGAATTTTCGGGGTGATTGGAACATTTTTCGCGCCTGAAGGAGAAGAAAGCCTTCGAAATTGGTGGCTCGATCTTGAGATTTAGTGAAGAATTAACGATGATATGGCTTGCCGATCAAAAACACCATCGATAAATAATATAAACTCCTCCTGTCTCGATCATAGAGACCCCAATTCGACGAAATGAGACATGTATCCAATGACAGTACTACAATTAACGTCAGTTTGTGTGGATTCGAACCCTATGCCTTGCGTTATCTCGAAAATGATATGTTTTTGGTCTTAAAAAGGCAGGATCCGATAGTTCCGGAGGAACTATCCGGGTCTTGCTGTACGCATCAAAATCTTCAAGGTCGAATTTGTCCCGCATCGACCTACAGACCTACCACCGTTCCAGTATTGAAGCCTAGCAAAATTTTTGTATCGAATTTATTTATTTCAGAAAGAAAAACAAAAGCGGAGAATACGATTCGCTAACCCCCGTGAAATTCTGAATCCAACGGTACCCCATTCATGGTATCTGAGCATGACAGGAGCTTATGTTTGGTACAAAACCGATTTCGAGCCTTACTGTAATAATATAGGTACGGATTAATTTGGAAAAAAAAAAAAAAATCATCTACCTATATGAAATGGTGTTTAAGTGGTTCTTTAAGTCCTATTAAATTTAATTACAGGAACACGAAAACTTTAAGAGATATTTTTTTCTGTAAACCATGGTTATATTTTTCCATTTTTGGGGCTTCATCCTGAAAGCTTCCCCCTCCTCTCACACTCGTAGATCCGCCTGTGGTAGTTAGGAAATTAAAATATGTTAATTTTAGCGTCAAATCAGTAACACAACTTAGTAATTTGGTTAACTGGGACATATTTCTATTGTGGGGCTGTTTGAAAATAAATGCAGGATTTTGGTTGTTTTTTTTTAAATACCCCTCTGTATAACAAACTGTTTAAGTTCTCTGGATTATTCATTTGTATAAATGTCAACACTTATTAATCCTCTTCCAGACGATAAGGTTTGTTTACCTCTGTAGCATTTCGCTGCTTAGAAATAATTCAGTCTTTACTAAAATGTAAAAGCGTGATTTTCGTATAATTTTGTTGCACGAGTATAAACTCGGCTGGAATGGGGACCAATCGATGTCAGAGGTGAGAGCAGCATCAATGACTGCAGTGTTCAACAGCGGTTCAAACAATTTCGGGAGGGAGACTTTAGCCTTGAAAACAATGAAGGTCGTGGAAGGACATCCTCTCTTTATGACGATGTTCTGCGAGCTTTGGTGGAAGAAAATCCAAGAACAACTGTTCAAGAAATGGAAAATTAACCTTAGCAAATCGACCGTCGATGACCGATAAAGCTTAAGGCGATTGGAAAGGTAAAAAAGCTTGAAATTTGGGTTCCACACACATCGTTTCTTGTTTCTATGAAGAGTTGAAATGGCTTTATCTTTCCTACAGTCGCATTTCCTGGCATCCTTCCTCTTCCAAGTAATTCACCCCCGCCGTCCTTCATACATCTCCGAGCTCCTTCAATTTAAATCCTCGGTCCATTTGCGCAATACCCGTTCCCGGTCTTCAGATTTACACATAATGGCCCACCGAAGCGCTGCTTTTGATAAATCTTTTATTATTCGATCCTCATCCCTATGGAACCCTTCCTACCTTTAAATCCCGACTGTTCAATCATTTCTTATCCATCCAGTACTCATAAAATTGTAAATAGTTACTACTGCAAACATTATTTTTACTTCACGTTTATTTTCAATTTTTTATTATTAACTGATTTAAATTAGAGAGTAACTTATAGTTTCTTTTATTATTTTGACTATTTACTATATTCTTGTTTATGTATCTCTGAGGCTCCTTAGTCCACTTTTTTGTTTTTCTGTATTATTCTAAAGGGACTCGTCCCAGAATAAATATTATTATTAAGCTACCGCCAAAAAAAAAAAAAAGTGTGCTACATTTCTTTGCCGAAACAAAAACGACCCTTTTCTGTCCAGAATTGTTACTTGTGATGAAAATTTTATACATTTTATAAAGTCCCTAACTCATCAAAAAAAGGTTATGGTAACTGTTTGGTGGGCTTAATTTGGTTTGATACACTACGGCTTCTTAAATCCTGGAGAAACCATCAATGCCGAATCATATTGTAACTAAATTGATGCAATGCATCAAAAATTGGCAATAATGCCATCTTTGGTCAACGGAAGGGGTCCATTTTGTAGCATGACAACGCCAGGGCACATGTCTCATGGGTGGGTAAAATCACAAAAGCTGTTGGAGCTTGGATATGAAACTCTGCCACATCTGTCTTACTCTCCTGACCTGTGCCCTATGCCCTTACAGATCGTCATATTTGTAGATACTTGGACCACTATTTATGTGACAAAAAATTAATGGACAAAGGGAATTAGAAATTGTGTTTTTCGAGTTTATAAATTCTAAAAATGAGAAATTCTATTCCGAGGAAATGGAAAAGTTGCCAACACGTTGGCAGAAATGTATTCATAGTAGTGGAGACTATTTTTATTAAACAGTAGTAAATCTTTTTCTTATGTTTTTAAACCAAATTATTTTACGGACAGCCCAATATATGCAAACTTCAGTTGCAAATGGAGCTTTCTAAAAGACAAAAAAAAATAATCTAATAAAAGTTGTAGTTACCATGCATCAGAGACTCGCTGGCCGAATGGGAAGTGAAATGAAAAATATGTTTTTATTATCCTGGTACTGTTGTCCCTTTAGGACAAATTAAAGTTACAGAAGAAATTCCTGTGTGGCCATACATTAAATTATATGTTTACAAATTTTATTAAAGTTAAAATATTAGAAGATGAGAAAAACAAAAAATACTAAAAACTTGCTGACATATATAAAATAAACCTAGGAAAATAAAATAACATAAGTAAACAAAATCATCAATCAATCAAAAGTGCTGGTAGGTTTGTAATTTAGAGACCGCAGGGATAGATGATAGTTATCCTTAACAATCCTTACGCAGGTATATTCTCAAAATTTACAACAGGAAAAACATATTTAAAAAAACAAAACAAATATAATATAGAAATAATAATTGTGTCGGAAGGGTAAAATAGGAGGATTGGTGGTAAATAATTTTTAAAATATTTAAAACAGTTCCTCAGAAAATGAACATGATGGGAAAAATTGGTTCTTCTGTAAATACCTACTGTCTTCTTCCTCATTACTCATAAATGAAATAGTTATGGGGCTATGATAACGTTTTTGATATAACTTTTGTACGGTTGTCTAATAATATGTCTAAACAAACTTTATGAACACAGTTATTAAATAAAATAGATAAACAAAATCAATTAACATAATTATTTTTCTATATTTTTTTCACCTGCGAGGCACTGTTTTCGAGATATAAGTGAAAATCCTTTCCTTCCCCCTCCCCCGCCGGCTCACCACCTAGGCATCAGGACTTTTGACATGTTCATACCTTAGCCAGGAGTGCACATCCACCCCAAGGTCCATGGTGCAAGAACCTACCCCCTCTCTCTTTACCCAAAATATGCCTCCCTCAAAAATTTTGATGGCGCAACTTGAGCCATGAAACCCCCTTCCGGGCACCCCTGACCTAAGCATCCTGAACAAATTTCTGAAGGAATCCCTTAGGTCCCTGCTCGCACATTCTACACCTTCTTTTTGGGTATTCATTGACTGGACTAATTGGTTTCCTTTCTTTTCATATAAATTCAATTGGAAAGACAACTCATAATTAATATCTAAAGTCAGCTCCTGTTCAATTCCCAAAGATTATCATTCAAACCTACTTATATCTATATTTACTAACTGCAATAGTTCACTGAATTCAGAGCTATCATCATATTGGAGCTTTTTATATTTAGTTTAAATACCAACTCAGACAACAACGAAATATGAATAAACAGTTCTGTCGATGGGAGGGAGTGTGCATAAAATAATAACTTCATATATCTCTTTTGTAGTAGACTGATATAAATCTTATTAAAAATATCTGATATAATTCTTAATTTCAGGAAAAATCAGCAATAAATAACAACAGTTCCAGCTTGAATCTTGAATATAACTTCAAACCTATTCTTCAAAAAGGTAGAAAATTTCTTATAATTTTTTTTTTTTTTTTAAATTAAAACTGGTTTAATCACCAAACTACAAATGGACAAAACAGAAGTAAAAAACACTAATTCAACTCTCATTAAAAATATCTATGATTTTCTGAAAAATGGAGACAAACAAATAAAATACAGTCCGAGCAAAGACATAGTTCTACTGCTGGGTAACACTGGATCTGGAAAGAGCACACTGACTCACTATATTTCTGGAAACGCTCACAAGCTCTTGTCTCAAGAAGTAGAGGAAGGAACAGGCGAATATGTGATTGTTGACCAACAAGATAAAATAAGTAGTGCCTCTACTATAGTGTCTCAAACAATTTATCCAGATTTAGTAGAAGATGCAACGACTAACACAATTTATTACGACTGCCCGGGTTTCAGTGATACCAGGAGTGCAGCCCATGAGATAGCTGCCACATACTTCATTAAAAAAGTAATCGATTCTGCTAGTGCAGTGAAGATGGTTTTTGTAGTGAGCCATCATTCAGTCACCAGAGGAGCAGACAGGCAGGACTTCATTCTGATGCTGCAACACGCCACAGATTTCATAAAACAAATGGATAAGTTTAAAAACAGTATAGCCCTTGTAGTCACCAAAATAGAAAACAGATATATTGGTAACAAGTTAGTGTCTGATGAAAAAGTTATTAATACCATCGGACACTATCTAGAGCAAGCTAAGCGAGACATAGATGAGCATCCAGAGATGGTAAACACAGCTGGTAAGAGCTCTGACAGCAAAGAGAAAGTATTGTCCCTTCTGGATATCTTCCTGAGTAAGGGGGAAAATGGACAATACACGAGAATAGGAATTTTTCGGAAGCCAAATGAAGCTGGATCCATCAGTGATATTGAATTGATGAAACAAGGAAAAATTTCATTAGAAAATTTGACGAATAAAAATATTCAATTTATAAAAGTAACTGATAACGATTTTGGATACACAATTTCAGCAAAATCCAAAGTCCATATCAGTGGCTTAACTGAAGAAATAAACAAAACTATTGTGAAACAATTACTCGACATTGGGCGGGAGGTGAAAGAACACTGCATTGCACAAGAAGGAAAAAACTCAGATCTAGAAAATTTGATTTCTACATTTCAAAATCTAAGGGAACCTTTCTCAAAATTACAGGAAAGCGCTATAAAGGATACAATAACACCTGAGATGTTTATAAGGGAAATTGACACTTATATTAAAAATTCCAAAATTAGCATCTCTGATCAATACATTCAAGCAGTACAGAAGGAAGGAGATTATATCAATTTTCTTAATCTTGTCAGCAATAAATCAATAAAAAATCATAAATCGTCTTTATTGGCAGCAGGTCTTTCAAACCTGACAGAGTACCTTAATGAATCACATTTATTTTATAATGTTCTGAAAAGTATGCATCAAAGGTTATCAGCATTTGACATACAGAAAAACAGAAATAAGTATAACACTATACATGTGAATGAATTAAAGGACTTGTTCCAATCTTCTATTTTCATTGAAATTGATACCATTTTTAAAGAACACAGTCATATGAAGGAAATGAAACTTGGCACGTCGAAGTTGAAATTATTGAACAAAGTTTTGGACGAAACCCTTAAATATCAAATTAAAATCATCAATCCTAAAATTGATAAAGTCATAGTTAGGGGCGTAAACGTGCAGCTGAGTGACCTGAGTGATCTGTTAAATAATAATGACATCAAATTTCTTGAAATTTATGCACTAAATAAAATGTTCATTGACACTAATTTTGATTTGACAGGTAGAGAAATACAAATGACTATTGTAGCCCCTGTATGGGAAGTTATAGGAAATCAAAGTATAATATTAGATGGAAAGCCGGGTATGGATCATTCCCCTTCGAAGGCTAGAAGTGGAACAGGATATGGTGAAAATGGATTCGACGGACGACCTGGAGAACCAGGCGGGCCTGCTGGCCATTTTATAGGAATAGGAAAACATTTCATCAATGAGGAATATCTGCATATTTCAGCCAATGGAGGGAATGGTGGAAGTGGACAGGATGGAGGTGATGGTGCAGAAGGGCATGATGGTGCGCACTGTCCTACTAGTTGCAGAAATTCAGATGGTTTATTAGTAACTATATTTTATAACACGGATGATGCAGAATATTACGGAGGAACAGGTGGTCATGGAGGCAACGGTGGCGCAAGTGGTTATGGAGGGCTTAAAGGAAGTATTTACATAAAAAAAGTTGGAAGAGAATCCGGAATGATTCAAGCACAACAAACTGCGCGAGATGGTTATCCTGGAGAAATCGGATTAGGTGGCAGTAGCGGAAAAGGAGGAAGATACTTTTATTATAAAGTTAGAAATTATATTGGTTTTGTGCATACAACTTCTTTTGAACCAATAAATAAATGGGGAAGAGATGGAATACCAGGAAGTGATGGCTCAAATGAATGGGGAAGGAGGGACACATGGATATTAAAAAAGTTGATAAATCTTAGCAATGCCGTAATAGAATATAAGAACTACTTACTAAGCAATATAAACAATAATTTACAAGAAAGTATGTTAAAAACATTTCTAAGTGAAATAGATAATAATCAAACGTCTGTTACACAGCCTACGAATCGTAAAAGAAGAAATGTTATTAATTTCACAGACATTGAAAATTCAGAAGAGCAATTGAAAAACATCAACATGCATGAACATGACCCAACAGAAATCGAATCACAAAATAATGATCGATATGTTAGTGACAGAAAGGAAAATTACAATTTGGCTCTTCATTACCATCTTCAAGACAGTAAACATGTACCCAGCAATTTATTTTTAGAAACCGAAAGAATAAAGCAAAGACCTTCCAAACCTATCTTTCCAATTTCTGTCCAATTGGAAAATATGAAAACTGAGAAACATACTAATATAAACAATCAATACTCTTCAATAAACCTTCATGGAAACTTATTGTTGTCCGAAATGGTTCTAAAGAAATTTATGGGAAAAGAAACCTGGTTGAATAATGATTATAAACGCAGTTCTAAGGAACGGATGAGCTCAGCACACGACTTAGCATACAGCTACTATCTGGAACATTGATAATTACACACAAGCCATGTCATATTTCCCAACCAACTAAAAGCTGATAGACTGCTCCATTGACTTGAACCTTGGTCGATACATCCAATCGTATCCCCAACTATCCATTGGTGCAGGACAACTCTATGATATTAATATAAAAATATTTAGTAGTAAAATACAATAAGTGCAATGTTATTATATTATAAAATTATACAAAAATAATAAGAACAGCAAATCAAGAATGCTTTTGATTGTACATATAGAATTAGGAAAGTAAAGTTCAAATTAAGAAATGCTTTGAATAACACTAAAATTATATATATATTTTAATTTATTTTATTTTAATAAGAACACTTCTTATTAGCAGCTAATTCTATTCATAAATATTATATTAGAAATGAAAAAGTAATGTAACATAAATACAAGTCTTAAATAATGAATCTATTTATATATATCTATATACTATGTAAATTGAATAAAAATAATTAATGTTAAAAATAACTTATTTTATGACAACACTTATATTATACTTGTATATGTAATTGAAAATAATAAAAACAGGTCTATATATATCCAGGAGCATGAAAGTAAAGGGATAAACTTGCTCAAGATCCTAAGTAGAGATGTTCGAAAAATACCGATATATCGATATTTGTAAAATATATATCGTTATTTTTATAAGATATTATTTATTACGATATATATCAGTATTGAAATATGAGTACCAAAAACATTATTTAAAAAACTGAACACAAACAAACTTTCAAGAACAATGGATTCAGTTAATATTGAGTGGAGTGATTCTCATATTTAATTGAACACACTGATTAAACCTAGAATAAAACCCTTAATCGCCACTTAATCAGAAGGAAGCTTAAGAATAACCTCACCCTGTAACAAGCTAAAACTATTATTTTTTTTTTTCCTTACCTTCCCATTTTATTCACCAAATATTTACAAAAATACCAGATTGTGATATATCATCTTGTAATAATGAAATATTTTGTACTTTAGGCAGTAAAGATAAAATTAATAAATTAAATGATAATTTTATTTAAGAATTAGTACAAGTGTTTTCTTGCTTTTGGTGAATCTTAGGACCCTAAAATATCAGGGATTACTTTGTCCAATGTGTACTGGCAAAAATACAGAAGATAGCATGGAAAAAACATAACATTTTATATCTCTGGTTCTAATGAAGAAAGAAAATTAAGTTTTTTTTTTTTGTTTATTTTTGCTATGTTAGCTTTCAATAATATATTTCTATTGAATTGGTAAATGAAAGACTATTCCTATTCATAAATTAGACTATTTCTATTCATAAATCTTCCTTTAGCCCACAATAATAGTTGATAAGGAAAAATTTTTCAATATAAACAACACATGTCTCATGTTAAACATCACCTACTCCATCTAAAAGTGTAACTTCATATTTATTTTGTTAGTTAAAAACATTCAACAATCAATATCAGAATTGTATATATTTGCTGCTTATTAAGATTCGAATTAAAATCATAATAATTTAGTTCAGTAAAAAAAAAAAAAAATTGTTTTCGTAACTCTAATAAAAATTAAAAATTATAACCCTTAAGTTAGCTAATACAGAAAAACAATGTAACGACGACTAGGTATTGGTGTTTGTAAATAATAACAAAAAATCATTAGTTGTGTTGATTTATATTTCTTAAAATTTGTATAACTATATTGATAAATTAAAACATTTAATTCATATTACTTGGACAGTATTCCTATTTCCAGGAAAGATGAGCCAAAGAATCGGATAAACACCTTGGATTTCAAATTATTGAAAACATCTACATACTTCAAATAGTTAATTATCAAAATATAAATGAAGGGAACAGAATTATATAACACTAATTCAACAATTATTAAAAATATATTTTATTTTCTACAAAATGGAGACAAACAGATAAAATATAGTCCAAACAAAGACATAGTTCTACTGTTAGGCAACACTGGATCCGGAAAGAGCACTCTGGCTCAGTATATTTCTGGAAACGCTCACAGGCTCTTGTCTCGAGAAGTAGAGAAAGATACGGGCCAATACCTGATTTTTGACAAACAAGACAAAATCAGTAGCAACTCTACAGTTGTTTCCCATACAATTTATCCTGATTTAGTAGAAGATGCAACGACTAACACAATTTATTACGACTGCCCAGGATTCAGTGATACCAGAAGCGCAGCCCATGAGATAGCTGCCACATATTTCATTAAAAAAGTAATTGATTCTGCTAGTGCAGTGAAGATGGTTTTTGTAGTGAGCCATCATTCAGTCACCAGAGGAGCAGACAGGCAGGACTTTATCCTGATGCTGCAACACGCCACAGATTTCATAAAACAAATGGATAAACTTAAAAACAGTATAGCCCTTGTAGTCACCAAAATAGAAAACAGATATATTGGTGATAAGTTAGTGTCTGATGAAAAAGTCATTAATACCATCGGTCACTATCTAGAGCAGGCGAAGAAAGACATAGATGAGCATCCAGAGATGGTAACCAGAGCTGGCAATAAGAGTTCTGATACCAAAGAGAGAGTTTTGTCTCTTTTGGACATCTTCATGAGTAAAGGAGGAAATGGACAATACAAAAAAATAGGAATTTTCCGAAAGCCCAATGAAGCTGGACTAGTAAGTGATATTATATTGATGAAGCAAGGCAGAATTTCATTAGAAAATTTAATTCATAAAAATATTCAATTCGTAGAAGCTGGTCATAATGATTTTGGATACACGATTTCAGCGAAATCTAAAGTCCATATCAGTGGCTTAGCAGAGGAAATAAATCAAACTATTGTGAAACAATTACACGACATAGGAAAAGAGGTGGAAGAATATTGCATCGTCCAAGAAGAAAAAACCTCAGATCTAGAAGTTTTGATTTCTATGTTTCAAAATCTAAGGGAGCCTTTCTCAAAAATACAAGACAATGCTATAAAGGATATTTTAACTCCCCAAATGTTTATAAATGAAATTTTCAACAATATTACACATTTTAAAATTGCCATTCCTGATGATCACATTAAAACAGTACAGAGAGAACGTAATTATATCGAAATTCTTAACCTTTTCAGCAATCAGTCAATAAAAAACCATAAAGCATCAATACTGGCTGCTGGTCTTTTAAACTTGACGGAGTACCTCAGTGACTCGTATTCATTCTACCGTATTCTGAATAATATGTACGAGAAGCTATCAGAATACGACATACAGAAAAACAGAAAGAACTATAACAATATACACCTGAACAAATTAAATGACTTGTTCAAATTTACTATTTACAAGAAAATTGAGAGCATTTTCAAAGAACACAGTAGTATTGAAGAAATGAAATTTGGTAAAAGAAAGTTGATTTTATTAAACAATGTTTTGGACCAGACCCTGAATTATCAAAATGAATTGACTAGTCCTGAAATTGATAAAATTGTAATGAAGGGTGTAAATGTTCAGCTGAGTGCTCTTAGCGATCTGTTAACTAATAATGACATCAAATTTCTCGAAGTCTACGCACTACATAAAGTCTTTATTGACACTAGCTTAGATTTAACTGGACGGGAAATACAAATTACCATTGTAGCTCCTGTGTGGGAAGTTATAGGAAGGCAAAGTATAATATTAGATGGAAAGCCAGGTATAGATCATAACTCTCAAAAGGCTAGAAGTGGGAAAGAATATGGTGAAAATGGATTAGATGGACTACCTGGGCAACCGGGCGGCCCTGCTGGTAGCTTCATTGGAATAGGAAAGCGCTACATCAATGAGGAGCATCTCCATATCTCGGCTAATGGAGGAAACGGAGGTAATGGGCAGGATGGAGGTGAGGGAGCAGATGGGTTTGACGGGTCACAATGTCTACAGCCATGCAGAGTATCAAATAATATTTTGTTTACAATTATTTATAATAAAGGAGACGCTGAATACAGCGGCCAAGTTGGTGGTAATGGGGGAAATGGAGGTATTGGTGGTTATGGAGGCCCTAAAGGAAGTATAAACATCATAAATGTTGGAATAGAATCTGGAATGGTTCAAACAAATCAAAGTGCACTTGATGGACACCTCGGAGGTGATGGGAAAGGTGGCGGTGGTGGAAAAGGAGGAAGATACTTTACTTTTAAAGTCAGAAATTATGTTGGACTTATTAATCAGGAACAATTTGGACCAATTGATAAATGGGCCAAGAATGGACAATCAGGAAAAGATGGGACAAATCTACAGGGAAGAAACAACACATGGAAATTAACTAAATTGATAAATATTACAGATATCAAAACTAAATTAAGCGAATATATAAACAATAACATAAAAAACAATTTACTACAAACATTATTAACAACCTTTCAAAAAGAATTAAACGCTCTCACAACTATAAACCCGCTAATAACCAAACGTAAAAAACGAAATATTAAGAATTCTACAGGCATCCCAAAATCAGAAGAGCAGCTCAGAAACAACAACGTACATAAACATGAATCAACTGGAATCGAGTCCCATAGTTATGATCGATATGTTGATAAAGGTAAGGAGAAGTACCATTTGAATCTCTATTGCCATCTTAATAAGAGTACTAACATTAAAGGTCCAATGTCTGGTGATTTCTTCTTAGAAACAGAAAAAATTAAGCAAACTCCTTTCAGACCTATATTTCCTATGCCTGCACAATTAGAAAACACAAAAGGAGAGAATCAAATTAATTTAAATGATCAATATCCTTCAGTAAACTTCCATGGAAACTTATTGTTGTCGGAAATGGTTCTGAAGAAATTAACTAGCAAAGAAATTGTGTCCAATCACAATTATAAAGATAGATCTGAGAAAGGGGCAAGCAGAGGACATGGCTTGGCATACAGGTACTATCTCGGCCATAGATAAATGACCTTAGGCATTTTATAGTTTTTCAGACAAACTGAAATTTTATTACCTCATTACAAGTTCACTTGAACCTTGACCACTTAAAAGTGTCCTCAAGTATCCAATGTTGCTCGATAACTCTATGAACTCAATATAAAAAGATTATATAACATATTACTATAAGACTATAGCATATACTATAATTATTATATAAATAATTAAATAAATAAATAACATATACTATAATTATATAACATATACTATAATTACATGAAAAATATAGTATAATATAAGGATAAGAATAGCAAACCAAGAATAATTAGAATATACATATACACACACAAAAAAAATTCTAAAAGAATTGGATGTGTCATGTAAAATAAATGTGTAATTTAAATAAATTAAAAATGGATTTAGTTACAAATGTTTTGTAAATTAAATAAAAACAGTAACATATTTTTTTATTTATGACAACACAAATAGTATCTAACATATCCACATAATTAATCTCAATTTTCAATAGATCTTGCCAGAATAGATTGACAATATAGCATCATTTTACTGGCTCTTTCTACGCTAGTTTTAAATGAACAGTTGGTTAAATCCAACAAACATTTAATAGGTATAAACTGTAAGGTTATATTAAAAATGGATATTACCTGTATTTTAAAATAATTTTAACTCTTAATAGATCAATAGGATATGCAATATTATAATAAATAATTGGTCATGATAACTTCAACAGGTGTTTGCTTTTGATACAAATGCAATAAAATAAACAAATAGTAGTCTAAAGCACTCATTAATTTTAAATTTTGTTGCAACCCATGCATTTAAATTTTCTACAAAAACAAATGAAATAGTATGAAAGTTAATTTGGGTTGCTGTCAAAATGAGAAAACACAAATAAAAATTTAATTTTGTGACAACGTTTCCACTCAAGTTTCAGACCTTCATCAGGAGAGCTCAGAGATGATCCACACCACAGAACCTTCAACTAACTTCCCAAACCAAAATAAATAAATTGTATTAAAAATGGCGATGATGTTTTGAAAAACACTGAAGATTAAGATAAGCATTTCAATTTTCCTATTACTATAACCTCTAAGTTAATAAAGAAAAAAAAAAACAGATCAGTAGTTTGGAATAGCCGGGAAGTTCAAAAACTATTAATTAAGGAGGTCTTAAAACTAATTTCTCCAAATAATCCTATATCATATAAAAATAATGAATCCAGGATAAAATAGCTTTACATACATATATATATACACATATACTCTAGCGGATCCAGGATTTAATTTGGGGGCTCCAACCCGAAAGCTTTTTTTTTCATATATATATATAACGATAATAATTTAGAAAAAA